AGGAAGCCAGTGCAGGGACCTGACGACTGGACTAATGTGGTCGTACTTCCTGGTTCTAGTCAGGACTCGAGCTGCCCGATTTTGAATGTACTGCAGCTGTTTTACAGCCTGTTTGGAGAGACCTGTGAGCAGGCCATTGCAGTAGTCTAACCTACTGGAGACAAATGCATGGATAAGAATCTCCAGGTCTGCTTTAGACACTATGTTTTTGATCCTGGCAATGTTTTTTAGATGGTAAAAAGCTGCTGATGTAACTGATTTGATGTGGCTATTAAAATTTAAGTCTGAGTCCAGTATTACCCCTAGATTTCTGACCTTGTTTGAAGGTTTTAGGGAGAGAGACTGTAGATGACAGATGACGCTCTCTCTTTGTTTCTGGGGACCAAAGACAATCATTTCAGTTTTGTCTGCGTTTAGCTGAAGGAAGTTGTTTTGCATCCACTCACTGATCTGTTGGATACAGTGAAGGAGTGAGTCCACTGGTCCATGTTCTCCTGCAGTCAGTGAGACATAGATCTGAGTGTCGTCTGCATAGTTATGATAGGAAACTTTGTTTCTGCGTATTAACTGACCTAACGGCAGCATGTAGAGATTGAACAGAAGAGGTCCCAGGATCGACCCCTGTGGGACTCCACAGGTCAGGGCCATATGATCTGAGACACAGTTTCCAATCTCCACAAAGTACTTCCTGTCTTCAAGGTAAGACCTAAACCAACTTAGGGCGGTGCCAGCGACGCCAACCCAGTCCTCTAGTCTCTGTAAGAGGATCTCATGGTCGACAGTGTCAAAGGCAGCACTCAGATCTAACAGGATTAGGATTGAGACTTTGCCTGCGTCAGTGTTCAGCCGGATATCATTTGTAACCTTGACGAGAGCAGTCTCAGTGCTGCGGTGGGGTCTAAAGCCGGACTGAAACATATCAAATGAGTTGTTGATTATAAGAAATCTAGTAAGCTGTAGGTAGACAACTTTTTCAAGGACTTTCCCCATAAATGGCAGATTTGAGATGGGACTATAGTTGTTAAGTACCGTAGCATCCAGACTGCTCTTTTTTAGCAGGGGCCTGATGACTGCAGTTTTCAGGGCCTTTGGGAATATTCCAGAATTAAGGGACATGTTTACTATCTGTGTGAGTGAAGGTAACAGACTGCTCAGAACAGACTTTAGAAATCTAGTGGGTAGTACATCCAGGCTGCATGTGGAGGAGCTCAAACTGGAGATTATCTCTTGGACAGTTTTATCATTTACAGGTGCAAAGTAAGTTAGCTCAAAGAGCCTTTCTGGCTGTTGGATCGTTATCTGTGGAGAGACAATGGCGTTTTTGATGCCTTGAACCTTGTCATTGAAAAAATTTGCAAACTCATTACATTTACGTTTGGAAGTTAGCTCTAATGGCATTTGAACAGGGGGGTTTGTTAATCCATTAACTGTTGAAAACAGAACACGCAGATTGTTGCTGCAGCCTTCAATCATTTCAGAAAAATACCTTTCTCTCGTACTACGTAGCACCTGGTTAAACTTGCACAACTTATCTTTGAAGATCTTGTAATCAACCTGGAGGTTGGACTTGCGCCACTTCCGCTCGGCCCTCCGGCACTCTCTCTTTTGTGCCCTGACCGAGTCTGCTTTAGCCCACGGCGCCTTCTGCTTATTTTTCACTATTTTAACCTTCACAGGAGCGATGGTGTCCAGAACTTTCAAAATACTAGAGGTGACAGAGTTAAACAGTTCATCTACAGTAGAATACAATGCATTCTCAAAGTTTATCATTCCCATAAATAGTTCACCCGTATTTTCATTTATGTGTCTTCTTCGTACAGTTGCAGAGTCCACTGGTGGTTTGTTAGTGAAACACATGTCAAAAAATATACAAAAATGATCCGAAAGCGCAACATCGACCACGTTTACATTAGAAATGTTCACCCCCTTTGTAACTAACAGGTCTAGAGTGTGCCCTCTGCTGTGGGTGGGGCCACTCACATGCTGAGTGAGACCAAAAGATTCAAGAACAGAACTCAGCTCTTTAGCATTTCTGTCATCAACATTATCCACATGAATATTAAAATCACCTGTAAACTATCAAAATCTGTGCATACAACTGAAAGCAACTCTGTAAAATTATCAATAAAACTGTGACATGACTGCGATGGCTTGTATAGGACAACAAAAAGTATTGGAGGAGATTGTTTTTGTTGTATTTTAAGAGACACATATTCAAAAGACGGAAACTTCCCAAGAGACATTCTATGGGAGACAAAGTGGTCTCTGAAAATGGCAGCTAAGCCTCCTCCTTTTTTGTTTTCCCGTATTTCAGATTCAAATTTGAAATTTGGTGGTGATGCTTCTATTAAAACTGCATTTTCTGTATTTTGGTCTAGCCATGTTTCAGCCATGAACATAAGATCTAGATTATAAGAACAAATAAAATTATTGATTAAAAAAGACTTGTTACAAAGAGATCTGACATTTAGCATAGCAAGTTTCAAAGTTTCAGGATCAGCGGTTGTGGTCGGCTGATTCTTACACGGAACAAGAATTAGATTTTCCTGATTAGACTGATTAACTTCAGATGTTTTTCTGTTATGTATTCTTTGTGTTATCACTAAGGGAATGGCACAGGTGGCTTCATGACAGGGCCCCAGCCGGGTTTCTCCTCTAACTAGACTGCCAGTGGCTGCGAAGCAGAGACCCTGTGCATCCTAGTGTTTAGAGAAAAGAGGGGAAGGGGAAGGCGGGGGAAGAGGATGGAGAGGCGGGTGGTTCTTGGGAGTTGGACGGGGGGGGGTTGAAGGTGGATGGGTTTTTGGTGATGGGTTAGGGGAGGGGCAGGCTGAGTTGGGGGGAGTGGAGGTGGAGGGTTTCTTGGTGCTGAGTTAGAGGGGAGGTGGGCTAAATGAGCAGGAGGGGGGGGTGGAATACTTATGGGGTTAGAGGAGGGACGGGTGGATTTTGTGGGAGAATTTGAGTTGGACGCCCTAGGTGGCTTTGGAGGTACGTATGGGGAGTAGTTTTGAATGTTAGATAGGACTCTTGATCTGGCTACAGTGGGTGTGAGAGGAATAGTCTTCATCGCCGATCTTATCATGCCTGCCGAGTGTTCCGGTAATTCCAGTAGTGAAGGCGCGGATAGAAAACAAAGGGAAAGGTCGTCCTCATTTTCCCTAGATGGAGTGGATGTAGCGGGGGGGACCCAAGCCGGGTCCATGGAAGGTGATGAGGGAGTCTTTGGTGGAGACAGAGGTGGTTGAGGAACCCCCAGTACAGGTCTGTCTGTAGCCTGGAGCAATGGGGGAAGCTTCACGGGGGCTGTAGGTGGGGAAGGCGCTGCTGAAGATGATGGAGCAGCCACTGCTGCTGCTGAAGATGATGGAGCAGCCACTGCTGCTGCTGTATCCACTGCTGCTGGTGCTGTATATGCTGATGGCGCTGATGAAGATGTGGCAGCTGCTGATGATGCTGGTGGTGGAGGCGTTGAGCTCTTTCGGAGCCGTGGAGGTGTTGAGTTCTTTTGGAACCTTGGAGGTGTTGAGTTCTTCTTGAATCGTGGAGGTGTGGAGTTCTTTTGAGGTGGTGGGGGTGCAGAGACCTCGGGAGCCGGTGGAGATGGTCGTGATGTCTGTGCCCTTTGCTTCTTCTTTCTCCCTTTCGACGGCTGCACGCGCTGCGCAGGCTGAGGTCTTAGGGCAGACGCAAAGTTATCCATCAACACTTTTACTCCGTAGTTGTTCAGATGTGGACCTTTTTCTTCAAAAAGCTCGTGCCTATTCCAGAACAGATTAAAGTTTTCAATGAAGCCAAGTCCTCTGCGTGAACACTCATTGAGTAGGAATGTATTTAGCTGATACAGACGGCTAAACTTCTCCATTTTTCCATCTATATTTGGAAGTGGTCCACTAAGAAAAATTGTTATGTCCATTTTCTTGAGGTCATCCAGTAACAGCGTTAAATCCATTCGTAACTTCTCGCTTGCCTTCTCATAGATATCTACCGCCCCCGTGTGGATCAATAATGTACGCACACCACTGTTCTCAGATAACACTTTAGGCAGAAGAGTCCTTATCTCAGCAACTTTTGCAGAGTGAACTGAGACAGTGAGCATGGACTCCATGTTTACATTTTTCACCAAACCATCTCCGATAAGGACACAGTTTGTCCTTGGTGGAGGCGCTGCAGTTGTTAGCGGCTTTGCTGTTTCAGAAAGGGGTAAAAAGCGGTTTGAAGTCTTCAGAACATTTAGTTGTGGCCTTATTTCACTCCTATTGTCATTCTTAGCTTTGTCAACTTTGGGTTTAGCTCCACAATTGTTCCAATAATTCTCATTGTTGATTTTGGGAAAAGAAATGACGTCATAACTTACATTTCCAGTCTGTCCATTCATCCCATTTTCACTCATTGGAAGAGTCGGGTTTAGTCCCATTTCTGTTTCCACAATAGATATCCGTGTTTGAAGAGATTTGAGCTGATATTCCAAAGCACAACAGCCGCAGCAGACGCTTCTCCGTCTCTTTCGTCCCGACATGACTAAAGTTGATAAATTCCACAAAGCTGAAGTGTGTAGAAGGAGTAATCCTCGTTTTGTAAATAAAATGATTAAAGGAGAAACAAAAAATGTAAATAAAATGATTCAAGGAGATTAAAAGGCGAAGCAAAAGCAGAGCAGAGAGACACGACTGCTCTCTCGAGAGCCTCATCAGTCACAGACCTGGAGTTGTTTTTAGATCCATCCGCACTGATATCAGAGAATTATGTCATAATCCTCTATTGATGTCGCTCCTAGCAATGTTGTGCCTTTTCAAAAGTATTGGTCGTAATTTAGTTTTCATCATTTCTCCAGTGTATTTAAATTTTTTACAATCACATTTTTCAATTTTGGTAAAAAATAGAGATATATCTCTTTCTTATCTATCTCTGGTCTCTCTCTGGTTTGTCTCACTCTCTGGTCTCTTTCTGGTTAGTTTCTCTCTCTGATTTTCTTAAAGAAATGCACCTGTGGGTTTCAGATGGAATCATTTGAGAAACAGTTCAAGAAAAAAGAGCGAGAGCTGGAGCTCCAGAAGATGCAGTATGAAGCCAAATGTAAGTTTTTGTGTGTATACATCTGTGTGTGGTGTATATGGGCTCGTGCGTGTTGATATAGCTGTATCTATACACCCATAGTATACTTGCATTGAGTGCAGACATGTGTGCACAGTGGCGGAGCAGTGCAGGGCTCGCTCTGACCTGGAGGTGGCACTCAAAGACGTCCTGCAGTTTCTGAAGATCAGTGAAACGTCTCCATCTGAAGCCGCTCTGCTGAAGATCCCAGCGCTGGACAAACTCAAGGTCAGAAAAAGAGGACACTAAAGAGACTGAACCTCTGCTTCAGGACACGTATCATTCAAAAGGAACTTTTTGCCACATTACCCAGAATACTTTGCACTTGGGAGGTATCCGTCCGGACTGTCGTACTTTAAGCTGGACTACCTATCTGATGTTTTGTTTAATAAAAAGGGCCATTAAATCACATTGGAAAAACTGTGCCAGACTACCCCAGTGTGCACCAGACAGCACACACCAGAGCTCTTGCCACGGGCCATCTTTACGGCGCCATGGTCCAGTCCAAGATGGCGCCTCGTATGGTCGCCACGGCTCTTTGCTGCTTGACTGTTGCACTGAGCCAAAGCAATTTCCAAGTCTGTGACTTCCTGTTACTTACGTGGCAATAAAAATGATTCTGATTCTGAAAATATAGCGCTTTTTTGGACACTCAAAGACGCTTCATATGTCATTATTCATTCAGTCCATACACGGTGGTGATAAACTACCTCTGTAGCCACAGCTGCCCTGGCTGACAGAAGAGAGGCAACCATTATATGTCATCGGCCCCTCCGACAATCATCAACTATTCACACAAACACCAAACTCATTCTAGGCAATGTAGGTGAAGTGTCTTGCCTAAGGACACAACGGCAGTTTGGCACTTTACAGCCGCAGCCGCCCCACCGTGGCACCTGGTGTTCCCAGAGGTTAAGTGTCTTGCCAAGGACACAACAACAGCAGACATCAGTGGGAGTCGGTGGAGAAAGTCTTGTAGTGGGCTCAAACCCACAACCTACAGGCTCAAAGGCCAAGGCTCTACCAACTGAGCCACTGTCGCTCAGTCCCATCCTCACCTATGGTCTGCCATCTTTAAAGGAGACATATTCTGCAAAATATTTCTCCATGTTACAACTTTGTTCTTCATCAATCACAGAGCTGGAGTTGTTATTAGATCCATCCACGCTGATATCAGAGGAACTTTTGGCACAAACATATGACTCCGCCCTCTGTCCTGACATCCTTCCATTGCTTTAAGTTTCACTGTGATTGATCCTATACAGGTGTGCAGTAGTTGTCTGACTCTATTTTGGACACATCTGTATTTCTAACCAGGGCTACTAAGGACTTTAAATGCGTTGTTCTGGACAAAAACAGTATTACACTTTGTCAAACCTCATCTTTCCCTTGACTACATTGTAAGATCTGAGATTACTAAAGCCAAAGTCCCGTGTCCAGTTCAAAATCCAAATAACAATGTGATTCAAAGCAACGGCTGATGTCCCATAGCAACTGAGGCCACAACAGAAAGACTTGTCTGCTCACACACACGGACTGCCTACAGATGGACTATGCTAACCTGCTAGCTGAATGAAGCCCAATACAGAAGTGCTTGTGGACAAATCTATTTATCTATTAAATCAATACAACTTTGAGTGGAGCAACGGCCGGGCAACCAAAGAGCCAATCAGGAGTGATGCCGGTCTGTTCTGTCTTGCGCCACTTGCTGGTAAAGAGGAACTCAGGGACTGGCCGCTCCTGATTGGTCAAAATATAAGCCCCAAGCTAAACCATGGATTTTTAGGCCCAAAATGGTGAGTATAAGACAATCTTTCCACTCGGGGAACGGGTCTATAGGGAGCGGGATGACCACTGTCCAGAAATGTTAATAAAATGTACATAATAATAATATTCACTGTCTGCAGACCCTCCTGCATCGGAACCACTCAAAAACCCAGGGCTGTAGATCCAGGACTCAGGCCAGGCTGTAGAACAAGAACTGCCAGGTGGGGAGGGGGGTGTAACCAACCATTCCGGTCCAGTGAAGAGGGTTTCAACATATATGAACAGTTGTTGTCCTGCTCACTATGGGCTACCGTATACAGTAGTTCCTTTTAGGTTTGTTATAATTGTATTACCTGTGTTCAAACTGTTTGATCTCTGTTGTTGGCAAATCAACAACTTTGAAACGTCCTCTAAAACTGCTGTTATGATTTAGACAGAAACACAAACCGTAAAAGACAGACCAACTGTGGTAGGATTTTGAACAGACTTGTCTAATCAGTTCTATGTCCTTGTCTCAGTCCTCAGATTTGAAGAGTGGTGAGTCCCTGCTGCAGTCCCACCTCCATCAGCTGATCGGCCGCAATGAGGAGCTGAGGTTGGAGCTGAAGACGGCAAGAGCGGAGGCCACCAGCGCCATCGGGCAACTGGCCACAGCTCAGGAGAAGGTGCAGACCCCATTGGGCTTGAGCATTTAGAGAGTAGGAATGATATTACTGTGTGGTGATGATGGGGATTTGGGGGGGGGGGGTTCCAAATTGGTTCGCTCCTTGTGTTTGTAAACTTTCCACTTCACAAGCCGCCTGCGTTCCACCATATGGCATCTCCACTCTCTCCACTTTGTGCTTTCATTTCCGTCCATAAAAACCAACGCGTTTTCACACATCGGCATCTCGACGATCGCCTGTATTTTTGGACTGTTCCTCTGAGACCAATTAGCCCAGAACGTGTTTAGATATGGGGCGACAGTAGCTCAGTTGGTAGAGCATTGGCCTTAAGCCCAGAAGGTCGTGGGTTCAATTCCCACCTCTGCACCTTCTCCACCGACTCCCACTGATGACTGCTGTCGTTGTGTCCTTGGGCAAGACACTTAACCCCACTTTGCCCAAAGCCCCCACTGAAAGATCAAGGCTATGCTCACACTCAGAGAGCAGCCGTCCTCCTGTGGACTCACCACCTGCAGAGGGTCAGTGAGGGGCTGGTGCTATGAGACTTGGGTGGCATCTCTGACTGTCACCCCCCTGACCCAGAAATGGATTAAAGGGAAGAAAATGGATGGATGGATGGTGTTTAGATATCAGGGCAAGAGCGAGTTAGAGTTAAAGCTTTTTCCCGTGGCCGTCTGATCTTGTCTCATTGCAGAAACTAAGCAGCACAGGGCCTGGTTAGTACTGTGAAGGGAGACCACTGGGAATACTAGATTCCACACTGCATCCTTAGGCAAAACACATCATTTATGTCTTGTATGAGTCTGGTATGTGCTTCAAAGAAAGACTAAACTGATGATTGAGGGTGAGCAGAGAGAGACCAGAAAGAGAGTGAGCGTAAAACTGAAGCGAGAGATCAGAGCAAGACCGTAGACCAGAGAGAGACCAGAGCAAGCCATTTTTTCTGTTGGGACAAATTACATTTTATTTATGAAATAAAAAAAGTGGTCCTTTTGTGATCTCTGGTCCCAGGTGAATCGGCTGCAGACTGATGTGGACCTGCTGCAGAAGTCCAGTCCTGGATTAGTCCTGAGACCGATTCCTCTTCCTCAAGATCTGGACCTAAGCAGCACCGAGGCCATTAGCTCTCTGAACGAATACGTCGTCAGACTACTGCAGGTGACGCTGCTGCTACTACTGATACTACTGCTGCTTCTACTACTGCTACTGCTGCTAATCCCACTCCTGCTACTACTACTGCTACTGTTTCTACTACTGCTTCTACCACCACTGCTATTGATACTACTACTGCTGCTACTGCTGTCACTACTACTACTACTACTGCTATGACTGCTGTGTGTTCTCCCTCTTGTTGTATTCTTTTTCTTCAGGTATATATATACAGTGGAGCAAAAAAGTATTTAGTCAGCCACCAATTGTGCATGTTCTCCCACTTAAAATAATGACAGGGGTCTGTAATTTTCATCATAGGTACACTTCAACTGCGAGAGACAGAATGTGAAAAAAAAATCCAGGAATTCACATTGTAGGATTTTTAAAGAATTTTTTGTAGATTATGGTGGAAAATAAGTATTTGGCCAATAACAAAAATTCAACTCAATACTTTGTAATATAACCTTTGTTGGCAATAACAGAGGTCAAACGATTACTATAGGTCTTTACCAGGTTTGCACACACAGTAGCTGGTATTTTGGCCCATTCCTCCATGCAGATCTTCTCGAGAGCAGTGAACACAGACTTTCAACTCCCTCCACAGATTTTCAATGGGGTTGAGGTCTGGAGACTGGCTAGGCCACTCCAGGACTTTCAAATGCTTCTTACGGAGCCACTCCTTCGTTGCCCGGGCGGTGTGTTTGGGATCATTGTCATGCTGGAAGACCCAGCCACGTTTCATCTTCAAAGCTCTCACTGATGGAAGGAGGTTGGATTTGATTCCCTGTCGTCGTAGTGTTACTGATGGTAACCTTTGTTACTTTGGTCCCAGCTCTCTGCAGGTCATTCACCAGGTCCCCCCGTGTGGTCCTGGGATATTTGATCACCGTTCTGATGATCATTTTGATCCCACAGGATGAGATCTTGTGATCGAGGGAGATTATCAGTGGTCTTGTATGTCTTCCATTTTCTGATAATTGTTCCCACAGTTGATTTGTTCACACCAAGCTGCTTGCCTATTGTAGATTCACTCTTCCCAGTCTGGTGCAGGTCTACAATTCCTTTCCTGGTGTCCTTTGACAGCTCTTTGGTCTTGGCCATTGTGGAGTTTTGGAGTCTGACTGTTTGAGGCTGTGGACAGGTGTCTTTTATACAGGTGACGAGTTCAAACAGGTGCCATTAATACAGGTAACGAGTGGAGGACAGAAGAACTTATTAAAGAAGAAGTTACAGGTCTGTGAGAGCCAGAGATCTTCCTTGTTTGAAGTGACCAAATACTTATTTTCCACCATAATTTACAAATAAATTCTTAAAAAATCCTACAATGTGAATTCCTGGATTTTTTTTTCACATTCTGTCTCTCACAGTTGAAGTGTACCTATGATGAAAATTACAGACCTCTGTCATTATTTTAAGTGGGAGAACATGCAGTCTCAGGTCTTTAGCAGACTGCAACAGGTTTTCTTCCAGAATGGTCCTGTATTTGGCTCCATCCATCTTCCCATCAATTTTAGCCATCTTCCCTGTCCCTGCTGAAGAAAAGCAGGCCCAAACCATGATGCTGCCACCACCATGTTTGACAGTGGGGATGGTGTGTTCAGGGTGATGAGCTGTGTTGCTTTTACGCCAAACATATTGTTTTGCATTGTGGCCAAAAAGTTCGATTTTGGTTTCATCTGACCAGAGCACCTTCTTCCACATGTTTGGTGTGTCTCCCAGGTGGCTTGTGGCAAACTTTAAACAAGACTTTTTATGGATATCTTTGAGAAATGGCTTTCTTGCCACTCTTCCATAAAGACCAGATTTGTGCAGTGCAGGCTGATTGTTGTCCTATGGACAGACTCTCCCACCTCAGCTGTAGTTATCTGCAGTTCATCCAGAGTGATCACGGGCCTCTTGGCTGCATCTCTGATCAGTCTTCTCCTTGTTTGAGATGAAAGTTTGGAGGGACGGCCGGGTCTTGGTAGATTTGCAGTGGTCTGATACTCCTTCCATTTCAATATAATTGCTTGCACAGTGCTCCTTGAGATGTTTAAAGCTTGGGAATTTTTTTGTATCCAAATCCGGCTTTAAACTTCTCCACAACAGTATCTCGGACATGCCTGGTGTGTTCCTTTGTCTTCATGGTTCTCTCTGCGCTGGGCGGCACGGTGGCTGAGTGGATAGCACTCTCGCCTCTCAGCAAGAAGGTCCTGGGTTCGAATCCCGGTCGGACCAGGGCCTTTCTGAGTGGAGTTTGCATGTTCTCCCTGTGTCTGCATAGGTTTCCTCCGGGTACTCCGGTTTCCCCTACCACTAAAAATATGTCCAATAGTTCTAGCATGCGCCTCCTGTACTGGCGACCCCGCTCCCATCTCTGTGTGGAGTGAGAGACAAATGCCCAAAATTAACAATTGTAAACCGCTTTGAGACTCAGATCTGCAGTGAAAAGGCGGTATATAAATAAAGATTACTACTAGATTACTACTAAACAGAACCCTGAGACTATCAAAGAGCAGGTGCATTTATACGGAGACTTGAATACACACAGGTGCATTCTATTTATCATCATCAGTCATTTAGGACAACATTGGATCATTCAAAGATCCTCACTGAACTTCTGGAGTAAGTTTGCTGCACTGAAAGAAAAGGGGCCGAATAATATTGCACGCCCCACTTTTCAGTTTTTTATTTGTTAAAAAAGTTTAAATTATCCAATAAATTTTGTTCCACTTCACAATTGTGTCCCATTTGTTGTTGATTCATGACAAAAATGAAAATTTTATATCTTTATGTTTGAAGCCTAAAATGTATATGTAAATGTATGTGTGTGTGTTTTAAACGTGTAACGTCTGTTGAGGCTGATATTCTGTACGTTTATAAAATCAGGAGCTGAAGAACCAGGAGGATATGACCAACGACTTGACCTCAACCTTAGAAGAATACAAAGAGAAGTTTGCAGTGATCAGCCACCAGCAGGGCCTGCTGTACCAGGACTACCTCAGGTCTGTGTTCAACATGAGACACTGTGTTCTCCCTGACCTTTAAACCAGGATCAATGCAATTCAAAAAACATGAATACTGCTGCTGCTCCTACTGCTTCTACTACTAGTGTTGCTGCTACAGCTGATACAACTACCAGTATGACTGCTACTACTGTTGCTGCTACTACATACTACATGTACTACTACTGCTATTACTACAACTGCACAACAGCATACAGATATGTTCAGACTCGGCAGTGCTTATTGTACAGTCTGACAGCTGCAGAAGGAAAGATTGGCACAACCTCTCCTTCACACAGAGCGCGCAAAGTGTTATTTTTTTTTGTTTTTTAGTGATAAATCCAAGTGGGAGAAGGAGAAAGAGGCTTTCACACGGACAAAAAGCAAACTGGAAGAGCAACAGCAGGTGGACGCTGTCAAGGTCAAACAGTTCAACGTAGGTTTTATTATATTCAAGACTGATTTCAATTAAATGTATTTGTGTATTGCTGTATGTGTGAAAAGTTGTGGATTTGCCAACAACAGATCACAAAATTGAATCTCGTCGGGCCATTTGTCCATATGAAGCAGGATGACCACTGTCCATAAATGTCCGCTCTAAGGCAGGGGTGGGAACATATTTTCTTTGCCATGCACACCAGACCAGTAATCATGTGGTTAATTTTGTATTTATTTTTGCCAAATCTACTTTCATATTGTAATGTAAAACAAATATTTTGATATCCAGTGTTTCTGGAGAGCAGATTATTCATTCTAATACAATTAATACAATGCAATACAATGTATTCTTGTATAGCAACAGTAGTCATCTCAGAGGATTTAACATAGAATGTAGAGTTGAAGATGCAGGACTGGGTCCTGTACATGGAGACTCCAAAACCAGACAAACGCTTTTTGAGACCTTTTGGCGAGCGCAGTGTTCGGTTTGGTTGATATGACACTAACATGTCTTGTAGATTAGAAGGAGCAAAACCATTTATAAGAAAGATATGATAAGAGACCCTTTTGTCCCAATGTGGGGAAATTTCAATGTTGCAGCGCATACACAGGACAGTAGTAAGAACACACAGGGAGCACCCAAAAATATACAAAATAAGTAGTAGCTATGTTTCTTAACTAGCTGTAAATGCTAAATGATATATGCTGTACATGGCAGGATAATAAGTAGATAAAGTAAAGTGACTGGTTTTTCTTCTCGAGAGAGCAGTCGTGTCTCTCTGCTCTGCTTTTGCTTTTATCAATGAAAATCTTTATGAGTTTAAAAGCACAAAGCGGGCAAGATTTAATTAGAGGTCTTGTGGATAGTGAAAACATGCTGAAAACCCGTAGGCACAGTTCTTCCAACAGCAGTTCCATTCCTATAACAACAGAATCAATTATTGCCTTCTGTCCCATTTCTGAACTTTGCTTGCACTATTCTGCAATCACATACTCATCCACACACAACCATAACGAAGAAAAATGTCTCTTTTATTCGTCCCACAATGGGGAAATTTCAGTTTGATGCATACACATACACATTTACAGTAAATATACACATAAAGGCAAGTAGCAAAATATCAATCCCGCGTCCTTAGAGGCAAAGGGGTTAAGTGTCTTGCCAAGGACCACAACGACAGCGGGATATGTGTTTTGACATTTGTATTCATTTGGATTGCGAAAATAACAACATTCCCACTTTCCTGTCGAGATTCCCGGCTTGAGAAGTTGTAGGGCATTTAAAGAGGTTGCATTCATTCTTGAAAACACAGTGGCTGGCAACTGGACTTGGTTAAGTTTGAGGAAAGTCGTGAAGAGTGAGGTGTTGTTAGCAGTTTAGCAGTTATTATTGGAATTTAGATGTGATCTGTGTCCGAGCTTTAAAACAGTTTGTTTAACTTGCCACAAGTGGTAATGACATGTTCTTGAATGGCTGCCAGCGTATCTTTTGGACAATATTCCAGAAAAGTGAATAAAGAGTAAATTGATAGCAGCTCATCTGATCACCACATTTAAGGATGTCACAGCAACTCTTGACAAACCTAATGTGACACTGCAGAACCCCAGTAGGGTATTAGAGGTGGTACTGTGATACTACAGGCGAAATATCTTCAAATCTACAAAGCGAAAATTTACTGTCAAGAAAAGAAAAAAGAAAAACGGACAGTTCAAAAAATAATCATCTCTTAAAAAATGTTAAAATAATTTGAATAAACGAAAAAAAATATCACATGATGTTTATCGGTTGTTTAAACATGTTAGGGGTAAATCTTCCAAAGGATGTATTACACAGCTCAGGCTTCTTATGACAGTTCAACTGCACAGAGTTTTCTATGTGTTCACACTAACAACTGGCAAAAACTGGCAAAGTTTGACAATTACAAGATTAGTGCAATCACTCAAACTTGGTTTGCTTCCAGCCACGCAAATGTACTGGATATATTGACAACAGAGAATGTGGACTGTGCTAAACAAACAAACTTAAGCATCTTTCCACATACGTGTGTTAGGAGGGCATTCAGATTATTTAAATAATATTCAAAGTGTTTGTTTTTGATTCTGCTGTCTTTCAGATACTAAAAAGCTGCTGATGTTGCTAATTTGATGTTGACATTTAAGTTTGAGTTCAATATTACTCCTAGATTTCATTCGTGGGTTATAGGGAGAGACACCGGAAGTAATATATAACACTCTCTCTTTGTTTCTGAGGACCAAAGACAAATCCTGGACAAAGTGCCTGTGCTCATGCTTCCAGTGCCGAATATAAAACTGAAGTAGTTATCAATTTACAGTTTAAATAGATCCAATTCCAGCTGTTTATGCTGTGGGAACAACTTAATGACTTAGATCAATGATGAGAGCGCAAACAGGTCAAACTGAAACTCCCAAACCGCGGCTTCAATCTGATTACACTTATTACTGTGACATTCTGAGCTCCCTAGACGCCTCTGCATTTTCCCATGACGTTGTTCCAGCCTCCGAGCGATTTGTTATTCTCTGAGATTGTCGAGAGCTCGTCTTTGGTTCATTTCAATCAGCTCCCCATCCACATCAGGAGGCGGACACAGTCTCTACACTCAGGGCCAGGCTTTTAATCACAGATGTCAAATGTGGCCCGCAAGACCATTTTAAGATTTCAACAGTTACTTATAACTTGAGTCATTGATGGTAGGTTAAAAGGAGCAACCATGGTGTGTCATACTTCATTCTAAAGACAATTCTTTCAAGAAAACCACCATACAATTTGTTTGATTTTGTAATTGAAAACCAACACATAATTATTAATTGAATAATATAAATAATTCGTCAGTCCTTTAACTTTATCCCAAATTTGGTTCTCTACTCTACTCTACTCTACTCTACTCTAGGCAAGGCAAGTTTATTTATATAGCACAATTCATTCACAAGGCAATTCAAAGTGCTGAACAAAATAAGAAAGCATTAAAATCATAAATAATCACAGAACATTAAAAAGAAAGATAAAAGTATAAAATCCCTCAGTTGTATGCACAGCTAAACAGAACCGTTTTTAACCTGGTTTTAAACATTGTCAGAGAGGAGGCCTGTCTCACACTTTCATTAAGACTGTTCCAGATTTTAGCTGCATGAATCTGAAAAGCAGCCTCCCCATGTTTAGTCCTGACTCTGGACACTAACAGGAGTCCAGTCCCTGTGCTCCTCAGAGTCCGGCTTGGTTCATATGGGACTAACATGTAACAATATATTTTGGTGCGAGGCCATGGAGAGACTTGTACACAAGCAGAGCTGTTTTAAAGTCTATTCTCTGAGCCACAGGAAGCCAGTGCAGAGACCTGAGGACTGGACTAATGTGGTCGTACTTCCTGGTTCTAGTCAGGACTCGAGCTGCTGCATTTTGAATGTACTGCAGCTGTTTTACAGCCTGTTTGGACAGACCTGTGAGCAGGCCATTGCAGTAGTCTAACCTACTGGAGACAAACGCATGGATAAGAATCTCCAATTCTGCTTTAGACACTATGTTTTTGATCCTTGCAATGTGAGACAGATGACGCTCTCTCTTTGTTTCTGGGGACCAAAGACAATCATTTCAGTTTTGTCTGCGTTTAGCTGGAGAAAGTTGTTTTGCATCTACTCACTGATCTGTTGGATACAGTGAAGGAGTGAGTCCACTGGTCCATGTTCTCCTGCAGTCAGTGAGACATAGATCTGAGTGTCGTCTGCATAGTTGTGATAGGACACTTCGTTTCTGCGTATTAACTGACCTAACTGCAACATGTAGAGATTGAACAGAAGAGGTCCCAGGATCGACCCCTGTGGTACACCACAGGTCAGGGCCATATGATCTGAGACACAGACACACTCTACTCTACCCTACTCTACCCTACTCTACCCTACCCTACCCTCCCCTACCCTGCTGTTGGGCTGCTGTTTTTTAAATCTGTGCCGACCAAAATTTTAGTTTGACACTCCTGCTTTAAATGTTCCTTTTTGTTTATCATAAGGCTGGGTAAGACATCCCTCCCTGAATCACGACAGGGGTATGGTATGACTTCACCTGTAGTCTGTTGATCGCTATTCACCCGCTGTCCCATGGTTTGTTTTATGGTGTGATGATGGGACCTCGAGATCCTCAGTCCTGGATCTACAACCTCAGTCCTGGATCTACTCCGTATTTTTTCCCACTGGGTTTGAGTCATTCCTAGCCAATACAGGAAGATCTAAAGATCCATATTATTCTGATTTGACAAATTGACAAAGAGCCGACAGCTGTTGTGATTGTGCAACACACAAATAACAGTGATTTGAATCTTTCCAGTGAGATCGGTGCGAACTTGTCTATACCTCTTTGGTGAGCACTTGGTTCTCTGCGCGGTACTGACGCTGCCTCACGTCTTTGGCCCGTCTGAACGCTGTCAGGTCCACTTCCTGTTTGGGCTCCAGTCCTGCAAGATTCAGAGATGCAGAGTTTGACTTTAGGGGTGTAGCTTTAGCTCAAACATTAGCCTCATTCACAGAGAACAAACACAAAGGAATTTTGACCAAAACCCAGGGCCAGGGTCAGGGGAAGAAGATTCTAAAACTACACACAAGAGCTGAAGTTGGCTGGATGACATTGTGATATCTCTGCCTGTTAGAATGTTTTTTTTTTTTTTTTACAAACATAAATATTAATTGTGTGAGTTACAATATTCTACCTCAGCATTATATCTGAACGATTCTCATCCGATAACTACATATATGATGCATATGAATAGCTCTTCTCATATGTCACTAAGGCCCTCCCCTTAAACATGGTGGATCCTCCAAATATCAACAAATAAGAAAATAAAACTGCAGAAGAAAGTGGCTAACTGTCTGCAGCTGGAGGGGCGAGGTGTCTGCAGGAGGATGGGTAAGGTGCGGTGGTCAGTGAACTGAGGGAAGAGCAATAGCCCCATATTCTGTATGAGGAGATACACAACTCAAACATGCAATAATTGCTCAAAAACAGCTTTGCATAATAACTATTACATAGACAACAACTAAGAAAAGTCTTAGGTCATGTCCCCTTTAAAACCTGATCCAGGCTCAAGATTGAGAAGTGATTTACCCATGCCAAAAGACCTCAGCTTCTGAATAACCTGATTATGGTTAAATCTAAGCCACTCTAAAGCTGTGTTCCCACCGCCGATGCATGAATGTGCATTGATGGAGGCGAGGACGCAAGTTCACTAATTATATCAGCAGCATGTGTTTAGTCAATCTGACATACTGCCCTGTGTTGGGGAAAAACTGACTTGACTTTGCATTGAAACGTGGTAAGTAATGTTAATATTACGGCCACCTAAACCCTGACGGCAAACACAAAAACAAATTTCCCTAAATGTCTCGTGACCAAGTACAATCATCTGACCAAGTTTTTCCCGGAAGTCCTCATTCTCGTCCAGCAGGTCGTTGATTCTCATCTCCAGTTGGTTGATGTCTTTGGTCATGGCTTCAGCCTCCAAATCCTTCATCCTCATGAGATTTCTGCACTCTTTGATCTCCGCCACGGCCGCCTCCAGCCCGTAAGTTCCCTGTCAGAAGCAACACACACAAGAGGTTTTAAGAAGAGAAGACACGTTTGTGCTGTGGGGTTTTTCACATTAGGAAGAAAGATTAGGGAGATTTATCATTTTATTTTATGCTTCGAGACACATGCTACTTTCTCAGAAGATTTGGGAAACAAATCAAATCTCATTCCAGGAAATCCAACTGAAAGTTCTTTGTTTGGGTGAAATAGATGGCAAAATCCTGTGCCAGCACAGGGCGAAGAAGAAATGAAGAGTGAAAACTAGTTGAAAGCTATAGCCTAACCCTAAGACCGTCGTGAGAAAGGTTAGTTTTACCCTACTGATGATGTGTTGTTGCAATAGTAATTATAGTTAGACTCTTTCTAACTATAGCCCCAATTCCACCAGCACCCCTCTACTCTACTCAACTCTGAGTCTCGAGTAAAAATGCTTTAAAAAAAAAAAAAAAGTAAGTAAGTAAGTAATCTTTATTTATATACCGCCTTTTCACTGCAGATCAGAGTCTCAAAGCGGTTTACATGTTAACATGTTTCGGCTGCAGAGTTGCGAGCCATCTCCAGAACTGCCTTGGTCATTTATCCGCTGATTTTACTTCCTGAGTAGGAGGCGCTGCGCAAGCAATTAACAGAAACGACCAGACTCCTTGTGAAAATTGCACAGCGTTCATACAAGGATGAAAAACAATGTAGTTGTAGCCCGACATTATTCTGCATTAAACAGTAGCTGCAATAATGGAAACTGAAACTAGAGCTTTGCAGAACGAAAGAGTAGAATCCTCCTCTGTGTAGCGCTCGAAGCACATGTAGCTAGTGTACCCGCCTCCCACCAGCTCCCGTTGTGCAGCTCGTCCCTTTGGCTCTCTTCTCTTTCCGACCCTTTCTCTATTTATTTCTTGTAGATGTGCTTTTTTATTCTAATTTTTCGTAATGCAAGCGTTCATTTGTGCATTGTGCACACGGGAAGCCTAACCTTGTGGACTTTCTCACTGGATTAACATGTCTTCGGCACTTTTTTCGGAGTCCTCCGCTCACAGTGCCACGAGACCAGCATGTCCCACGGAAGCAGCTTCTCGGACTTAGAGACTCCGCTTTCCGGCACTCAGAGAAGCCGGTGATCCCTGTGGAGATCCGTAGGAGACGCAGGGGCTCCAGAGGAGGCCGAAAGAGGAAGAAGAGACCGTATCTCCCCTCCATCCTCATGGGGAACGTACGGTCCATCTCTAATAAGACTGAGGAGCTGACCGCACTGGTCCGCCATCAAAGAGAGTACAGACAATGTGGACTTATGTGTTTCTCTGAGACGTGGCTGTGTGGGAATATACCGGACTCTGTGGTCGCGCTGGAGGGATTTAAACTTGTGCGAGCGGACCGCTGCGCGGAGGGCAGTGGGAAGAGCAAAGGCGGGGGTGTCGCGGTCTACGTGAACGAGCAGTGGTGCATCCCGACGCACGTGCATGTGGTTCAGCGTACAAGCACACAGGACCTGGAGCTGCTCGCTGTGAGCATGAGACCCAGGTATCTGCCGCAGGAGTTTTCGAACACCGTGGTTATGTGTGTGTACATCCCCCCGTCAGCAGACGCGGCCGCAGCTTGTGAGGGTATCCACAGAACTGTGACCCAGATCCAGACCCGTAGTCCCCGCGCTCTGATTCTGATCAGCGGGGACTTTAACCACGCCTCCCTCTCCGCCACTCTCCCGACATTCAAACAGTAGTAAAAAAGAGCGAGGTGTATGTAAAGATTAGCGTATTAACATTACGCAAAAAATAATAACGGAGACGGAGATGAAACGGACACGTTTGGACAGATCCCTCGTCCGTTTTACGCCCCCGGTGGAGTCGGGGCCTAAAGCCGCGTTCAGACCGGATCATGTGTTGCGTCGGCTTTCAATGCAAAGTCAATGGTGACACGCGTTCGAGCATCAAAATGCATGTGCGTCTCGGAATGCACGCACGGACAGCTCAGTAGAGACTCACGGAGTGCGCGGCAAAGTAGAGGGGGAGGTGCAGGACCGGAAAATTGACGCACGCAGGAGATAAATATTGCTGAACGTTTCCTCGGACGTTCGTGCAGCGACCAATCAGAGAGCCATTTACTGAACTGTAAACAGCCAAAACAGGAGCTACACCACGACTTAAAACCAGGGTTGACAATGGGGGACATACAGTATAGTGCTTGTTAACATGTGAGTTTTCATGCTCCCGTGACTTTATGCAAGTGCTTCGAGTGTGTTCGCCGATGCGGAAGTACAGTTTAATAATAAAACAAACTTATTGCGCACCTCCGTGAACACATACTACTGTTATATAAAGTCTCTGGAAGGTCTCTGAACACAGACACGCTGCAGAGCTGCCTTATTGGAGATGAACTTTACACAAAAAGCCCCTAACTTAACTCTGCATCAAAGTCCGCCCGCTACTTCCGCCACTTCCGGCGCTGGCCAGGACTTCTGGTGTGAAGTCCCCTGCGTCTGAAAACTAGAGAATGTGCGTTTGGGGCACAAGGTTTCAGCGTTCCAGCGTTGGCGGTGTGAACACAGCTTAACTCACATGAGAGCTGCTTCTAATCTCCTCACTTGTTATCTCCTCGTCTAAACATGTGGCGCCACCAGCAGGTGAGAGCCAGACCCTGCTTGCTCAACCTGCTTAATGATGTGAGGAGAGACACAGTGGGGCGGCTGCAGCTATAAAGTGCCAAACTGTCAGTGTTCTTTGGCAAGAAACTAAACCTACATTGGCTAGAATGAGTCTGGTGTCTGTATGTGTGTGTGCGTGTGTCTGTGTGTGTACTCACAGCCTCATACTGCTTGAGTCGGTTAGTGGCCTCGATCAGATCCTTGTCCTTCTCTTCGGCGTGAGACTCGAACAGTTTCAGAGCACTCTCAGCCTCTGCTGCACGCTCTTCCGCCTCTTCCAATTTACACTTCAGCTCCTCTATCTTCTTCTGCTGCAGCATCGACGGGAAACCTACCGGAAACGAGACATACGGCAAGTTTTACATCAGATTTTACCAAAGCCCCGCTCACACAAGAGCCCAGAATTTCATTGGATATTTAGGCCCGAGCCCCGAACGGGGTAAGGGCCCATTGCTTTCACAATGGTGAATGCAAGGGGTGGCGGTGCGTCACTCACCACGTGACGTGACGGTTGCGTGAACTCAAACGCTTTAAAATGATGTATCATGTGCCATTGAAACCAATATTGTTTTTGCTCGAGACGTCAAAAACATTGTGTGCACCATGTGCACTTGTATATTGTAAATAGTAATTGTAACTCTATTTTAAATTTACATTTATTCCTTAGAAGTGGTTTTTATTCTTTATTATCTCTTTCTGATTGTTGCACTGAGCCAAAGCAATTTCCAAGTCTGTGACTTCCTGTTACTTACGTGGCAATAAAAAAGATTCTGATTCTGATTCTGAAAAAAAAATTCCTTGGTTTATTAGGCCCGAGCCCCGAACGGGGTAAGGGCCTATTGTTTTTGCTCGAGAGATGTCAAATTCTGCCCTTTGAGCCTTAATTTGACCCCCTGAACATGCATGAAAAGTTGTAAAATTTTGCCCAAAAATCAGACCTAAAAAGGCCAGAATAGCACCACCAACAACAGCCAATTTAATACCCCATGGGAGTTTTTGAAGGTTAAGTTTTTTGTAGAGCCATGAAATTCGGTACACATGTTCCTCAAGTCAAGACATGAAAACAATGTTATATGGCCCCCGCCCTCTGACAAACAGGAAGCCCAAAAATGTCACTTCAAAATGGAAAAATGAAAAATGATCCTTTTCACACATGTTGGTTGGAAAGCGACTCCTCCTCGGCCGTTTCACCGATTTTCCTCAAAATCGCTTCACATCGTCTAAACACATGTACCATCATTTTCTTTTCACAGATTTCTGATCAGTGATATGTTGTTTGAGCAGCGGAGCGCCAAAAAGTGGCATATTTTTTTCAGTTTTTGACCATTGAAAAATTGCTTCCATTTGCACAAACAAAGTTTGATTTGCACAAAACTGGAATGGTTCAATTCTAGGGTCAAGGTAATTTCAAAGTTAAAAATTTGAAATCGGTTCTATAGCGCCACCTACAACAGCCAATTTAAAAACGCCTATGGGAGGGGTTCCAGGTCAAAACTGTTGTAGAGCCATGTAATTTGGTAGATATGTTCCTCAAGTAAAGACATACATTTTTTTATTATGGCCAAGCCCTCTGACAAAAATGAAGCACATACATTTCATTGCAAAATGGAAAAATGCAAAGCAATAATTTTCACACATGTCGGTTGGAAAGCGACTCCTCCTCGACTGTTTCACCCGATTGGCCTCAAAATCGCTCCACATCATCTCATCACATCAGATTCAGATTCATTTTATTTGCCATGTGCAGTATGAAAACCATATTGAATACATTCGCAAAAAAGGTACTCTGTGTGCACCATGTACCATCAAAATGTACCATCAAAATTACTTCAGGGAATTTTGATCAGTAAAACGTTGTTTGAGCAGCGGAGCGGCAAAATGTGAGGTTTTTTTGGCCGTTTTTGACAATATTAAATTTGCTCCTGTTTGCACGTACAAAGTCTGATTTGCACAAAACTTTAATACATTGTTTAACTCTAGGGTGTAGGTCATTTGAATGTGAAATAATTGAAATGCCAGAACAGCGCCATCTACACAGCCAATTTAGTACGGCTATGGGAGGGGTTCGAGGTCAAATTGGTTCTAGAGCCATGAAACTCGGTACACATGTTCTGCAACTCAAGACATGAAAACAAAGTTATTATGGCCACGCCCCCTGACAAACAGGAAGCCCATAAATTGAATTGGAAAATGGAAAAATGACCTCTGCGGCCGTTTCACCGATTTGCCTCAAAATTTTACATCATCTCAACACATTGACCATTAAAATGACTTCAGGGAATTTTGATCAGTGAAACGTTGTTTGAGCAGTGGAACGGCAAAAAGTTTAAAAAAAAGAAAAATAGCTCTCCTTTGCACATACTAAGTCGCCTCCTCTGTCACGCGGTGCGCGGAGTCGCGGTGGTGCGGAGAGTTGCGCGGTGCGGGTAGTCGCACGGTGTGACTTGAAAATAATCATAAAATATTGCTTGACTTGAGTGGTTTTTATCTCAATCGGAGCACATTATAACTGAGAGAGACCAGAGAGAGATGAGGGAGAGAGACCAGAGAAAGACTTGAGAGAGAAGAGAAGGAAAGTATTTAGAATCTAATGATCAAACATCTACAAAATAGACAAGGAAAATCAATCTGATTCTTTTTTTTTTGTATTTATTGTCTTTATTTGGAATCTGCTGAAGTCCAGAGATGTTCGTCAAACACAAGTGCATTAGTACAACATTTGTCTAAACCTCTAGTTTAGATCCACCACACGGATCTGAACCATCTTACAGCTCACACGCCAGAACAGATCCAAAGTCAAACGCACAAACAGAGGCGGTTGCTTTTTTTGTGTGTGTAGAATCTACAACATCTGCAGGTGTTTGTGTTGCCCACCTCAAAGCTCCAGAAGCACAAACAGCCGAACAAACTCTCTAGTACACTCTGCTGATTTGCATCTTCATCCATCCATTTTCTACCCTTTAATCCATTTCTGGGTCAGGGGGGTGGCAGTCAGAGATGCCACCCAAGTCTCATAGCACCAGCCCCTCACTGACCCTCTGCAGGTGGTGAGTCCACAGGAGGACGGCTGCTCTCTGACTGTGAGCATAGCCTTGATCTTTCAGTGGGGGCTTTGGGCAAAGTGGGGTTAAGTGTCTTGCCCAAGGACACAACGACAGCAGTCATCAGTGGGAGTCGGTGGAGAAGGTGTAGAGGTGGGAATTGAACCCACGACCTTCTGGCCTTAAGGCCAATGCTCTACCAACTGAGCTACTGTCGCCCCCTGATTTGCATCTTCTTAAAGCTTATTGTGGATCACCCAAACCCAACCTGACAACCCTCATGGCGTTCAATTTGCTGACACTCGTAGCAAATGGAACGCTCAAATTTAAGTTATCTATTTAACCAGGAACGACCCACTGAGATTTAAGCATCTCTTTTTCAGGGATGTCCTGGCCCTTCAGAGAGGGAAGCTATTGTGCATGTTTTTAGTGGTAGGGGAAACCAGAGCACCCGGAGGAAACCTACGCAGGCACGGAGAGAACATGCAAACTCTACTCAGAAGGGCCCTGTTCCGACTGAGATTCAAGCCCAGGACCTCCTTGCTGAGAAGCTCAAGTGCTAACCACTCTGCCACCGTGCCGCCCAAAGTGATTTATATGCGCCCTTTTTCTCGCTGTCTCCATCTCGCCATCTCTTTCTCGCCGTCTCTCTAAATGTACTGGCTGATCCAGACTTAGATCTAATTTACATCAACCACACGGATCTGAACCTTCTTACAGCTCACACGCCAGAACAGATCCAAAGTCAAACGCACAAACTGAGGCTGTCACTTTACCCTGAATGATCTACAACATGGTCTGGACTGAGACACAGACTCGTGTTGAGGCCATTTTGTGTAGAATCTACAACATCTGCAGAAAAAAAGCTCCAGAAGCACAAACAGCCGAACAAACTCCAGTACATTCTATTGATTTGCATCTTCTTAAAGCTTATTGTGGACGACTCAAACCCAACCTGGCAACCCTCATGGCGTTCTATTTGCTGACACTCTTATTTATTAAACCAGGAACGACCCACTGAGATTTCAGCATCTCTTTTTCAGGGAAGTCCTGGCCTGTCAGAGAGGGGGGCTTTTGTCCATGTTTTTAGTGGTAGGAGAAACTTGAGCACCTGGAGGAAACCGGAGCACACGGAGGAAACCTACACATGCACAGGGAGAACGTGAAAACTCTTCTCAGAAAAAAAGGTTTTGAACAGGATTCGAACCTAGGACTTTCCTGAGAAACCGTGCCGCCTGTAGTGATGAACTTAAATTCTTTTACACCTGGAGTTTGCAGCTGAGTCCTTGCGCTGAGTTTTCTCTCGCAATTCTTCAGCTCGCTGTTTCTCTTCTTGAACGGCCCAGTCTTTCTGGAAGAACGTTTGGACCAGCGTTCTAACGTTCTCACTGGGCCCCCTGTTTTGCTTTTTATCCCCTTGAACAGCCTGGTCTTTCTGGGAGAACATTTGGACCAGCGTCCTAACGTTCTCTCCGAGCCCCCTGCATACCTGTCTATAGTGTGCGCAATCTGGCGGATTTTCAAACACACTTGTATTGGTAACTGTTGCCTCTACCTATGTCTCTGTCTCACCCTCTACCTAGCCCTCTACCTCTATTTCTACCTCAGTCTCCATCTCTGTCTCGCACTCTATCTCGCTTTCTATCTCTGTCTCTAAATGGGCTGGCTGATTTAGTGGTACCTGTAGCCCAGTCTCTGTCTGATTATCAGATGTCATGAGTCCATCACCCTCCATCAGAGTCTCGAGCTGACGCTCTTTCTTTGGTAGAGGCTTCTGTCGTTGGGCCTCCTTCCACTGCTCCACTCGTTCACGTGCCAAACCCAATGAACGCCTCCTACTGGTCTCTGCTGCCTCTAACTGATCTTTTACCTCAGTTACTTCCTGCTGCAGAGCCAAGATCTGTTCATCTCTTATCCTCAGTTGTGTCTCGGTCTCTTTCTGTCTTGCTACAGACCGAGAATCTTTCTCTGATAACTGGAGCTGCAGCTGTTGGTGGGCTTCCATCCACTGCTGCAATCGCTCCTTCTCCAAACCCAATGAACGATTCTCACTGGTCTCTACTGCCTCTAATTGATCTTTGACCTCACTTAAGATCTGTTCATCTCTCAATCTCAGTTCAATCTCACTCTTGCCCTCTGTCTCGCTCTCCATCTGTATTACTACTGACGGACAAGGTTGGTTTGATAACTGGAGCTGCAGCTGTCGGTGGGCTTGCTCCCACATTGCCGATCGCTCGTTTGCCAAACCCAATGAATGCCTCGAACTGGTCTCAACTGCCTCTAACTGATCTTTGACCTCAGTTACTTCCTTCTGCAGTGCCTGGATTTGTTCATCTCTATCCTTCAGTTCTATCTCGCCCGCTGTCTCTGATACTACTGACTGATCCAGTGGTATCTGACGAGATTTCTTTGGTAACTGGAGCTGCTTCTGTCGTTGGGCTTTCTTCCACTGCTCCATCGCTTCCTCGCCGAACACAATGAACGCTTCTTACTGGTCTCAACTGCCTCTAACTGATCTTTGACCTCAGTTACTTCCTGCTGCAGTGCCGATATCCGTTCATCTCTCATCCTCAGTTCTATCTCACTCTCGCCCTCTGTCTCGCTCTCCGTCTCGCTCTCCATCTGTATTACGTATGACGGAGAAGGTTGGTTTGATAACTGGAACAGCAGCTGTCGGTGGGCTTGTTCCCATTTTGCTGACCGCTCGTTTGCCAAACCCAATGAACGCCTCGAACTGGTCTCAACTGCCTCTAACTCAGGCATGTCAAAGTCAAATACATCAGAGGGTCAAAAAAAAATGTTTGCTACGCGCCGAGGGCCGGACTGGTTCAATGTTTCTCAACATCCAGAGGCAGTGCCGGTGACACCTGTTGGCTCGATAAAATATGCTCTAAAGCCAATCCTCATACTGTACATATTAGATGTAATAGACATCTGAGAACATGACAATAGTAAAAAAATAAAATAAAAAAGCTCTAACTTGGTGAAATGTAAAAGAGCTGTCTGGACCTCTTTTCGGGGCGTTTTTTGATTCAATCTGCAGAATGGATTATACTTTGGGAAATACAAGTGGATATTTTTCTTCAATGAACAGTTACGGAGAGAAAGAGACTAAGCAAGGATGGGGAAAGTCTAATTTGTTGGAGCAGCGGAAGACGAAAGGTAAAAAACAAATACAGACTGATTTATTTTGTGCCCATATTATGTGTTATATCTTCTTAATGCAAAGTCTGATATTGTTTACACTTACATATAAATATAGCTGAGAAGATAAGATTTAAAATGATATATAGCTTGTGGCTTATGAAGTTCAAAATACATCTGCTATTGCCAGCAGAAGTATTTTTTTTCTCGTTTGCTCCCGCCGGCGGGGGCTAGCGAGCTTAAGGGGTCAATACATTGCCTCAATGGCAGGCAATGTCCCGGGGGCCATAGATAATTCATTCGCGGGCCGGATTTGGCCCGCGGGCCTTGACTTTGACACATGTGCTCTAACTGATCTTTGACCTCAGTTACTTCCTGCCGCAGAGCCAAGATCTGTTCCTCTTTAAGCTTCAGTTCCTCTTGAGCTCGGTTAAGCTGCTCTTGAAGACTCTCCCACTCGGCTCTTTTCACTCTGGCATCTTCTGTCTCGCTCTCTGTCTCGATTTCTGTCTCACTTTCTGTCTCGCTTTCTGTCTTGCTTTCTAACTCGCTTTCTGTCTCGCTCTCTGTCTCGCTCTCTGTCTTGGAAGTCCAAGGAAGGAGAACCCTCAATTTACCAAAGATAGATTCAGATCTCTCTGTCTCGCTCTCGGTCTCGCTCTCGGACTCGCTCTCGGACTCGCTCTCGGACTCGCTCTGGGACTCGCTCTCGGACTCGGTCTCGCTCTCGGTCTCGGCCTCGGTCTCGCTCTCGGTTTCGCTCTCGGTCTCTGTCTCAATTTCTGTATCGCTCTCTGCCTCGATCACTCTCTCGCTCACTCTCTCTCTCCCTCTCGCTCTCTCTCTCCTGTTTTCTGTCTTGTTCTCCGTCTCTGAAGCCCATAGACCGAAAAAACTCCAGTTACTTAAGAAAGATTTAAAGCGAGACAGATAGCTCCCTGTCTCGTTCTCTGTCTCGTCCTCTGTGTCGTCCCCCATCTCTATTACTACATAATCCAGTGATATCTGACAATTGTTCTCTACATGTTTGTGAATTACAAGCATGTACACACGGAGTACTACTCATTCTGTTAGTATTTAACCTAGCACACAAATACTAACAGGTTATTAAAGATGAGAAGTAAAAGTAAGTCTTTGCCTTATCTGTGAATAAATATGTATATCCTACTGCTATCTCTTGCTGCTATGTTCTCCTTGGGAGGAGAAAATTGCTCCGAAAGCCTTTGTGGAGTCTCGGTTGGGATTTACCTTGATGCAGTGTCATATGCCTACATTCACATAACAAATTCTGGAGTTCCGGAACCTTGTCGCATCATCCGCTTGAAAGATGGTGCCATAGCAACCGTTACCATGGAAACCTGTCATGGTAACGTCCATTGAGAAATATCACAAAATAAACAGGAGGATTGAAGAGGTGTCTAAACCAAGATTTGATTTGATAAAAAAAGTATCTTGTTTTAAAGAGATACAAGAAATGTCTCCTTTGGAATGAAAAAATAAATCAACATTTCTTGAAAGAAGTCTAAATGTCTTTGTCCCGTTGGAGAATCTAGTTTTAACACTGTTGTAATGTGCTCAGATTAAGACAAAATAAACTTGAATTCAAGCATTTATTTGGTAAAAAATGCAAGGCAACCAGTATGTGTCATTCTCCTACTCTTCCTACCACCTCCAACCAGACTCATTCTAAATACTACTACTACTACTATACTACTATCTGACCATTAGCACCCCCTACAGACTGAGTAAAGGTTTACATGGGGATACAAGTAGGAAAATGGCGCGTCAGCGCCACCTCCTTTGCGCGGTGCGGCGAGGGCCGTTTGACGCCGCTTGCGGCTTTAATTTCTGTTGTATTCAAATCAACAACTTTGTAAAGTCCTCCGAGACAACTGCTATTGTGATTGGAGACCTGGGGAAATTGGTGGAGTATGGCGTGCTTTCAGTTTGACACCCCTGGTCTAGATTTACAACAGAATCAGAGTTCATGAGCTTTGAAAAATGGCCAAAAGCACAATACTGATCGTCACATGAGGTAAAGATAGAGGAGTTTGCGTCTCACCTTTGTCAGTTCTTGTGGACGTCTTTAGATCCTCGATGAGCTGAGTGTGTTTCTCCATCTCTCCAGTGTAGAGCTGAAGCTGCTCGCTCAGCGCCTGAATCTGGCCGTCTCTGTCCTGCACGGCCTGAACAAACCGTAAAACTTACATATCAACCCATCGGTTCAGCAGCACAGAGACTTCCTAAAGATGTTATTGCTCAACAGAGAGATCCTTCTTACAGATCGTGAGGAGCTAGGTTTGGTAGTGCTGTCCAGAATGTATTTTCAAAACAGAAGAAACAAACTACTGAGACTATTGCTAAAATTAAATAAGAGTTTTGATGGGATGAAACTAAGACTAGAAGATCCATTTACAGAACAGATATTTTGACAAATACACACCATAGAGTATGGTGTTCTAGATTAAAGCTACACTAACTTACTTTATTTTCGTATTCATTACGAAAATGCTATCCATGTCCATGTAGTGCATTGGGATATACGTCCTTTTGAAGAAAAAGTAGCGCAGATTTGTGCTGGCGTGACATTATATTTTAGATCGAGTTTTGATGAAACAAGGAAGAGAATGTGTTTTGGGTCTCAGATTGTGACCAATCACCGCGGACCACTAGCCCCCACTTTCGTGAGAAATCTACAGATCTGTTAGCATAGACAGCTGAGTTAGCACAACAAGCGGCGGAGCTAACCTGAAACTTTCTCGTCTTCGTCACCGGTTACTTCCTTATTTATTTATTTATTTATTTATTTGACAGGGACAGTACAACAAAAACATTGTCACCCACAGGTAAACGATGTGAAGTACACAAGGCTTCTAGCCAAAGGCTAATTTGCAGCCCCCGTCCCTGGTTAGGCTTTTGGAGAAAGCGAAGAAACAAGTTTAAAAAAAAAGGGGATAAAAGAACAACTACACATCAATAAAAATAACTGACCCCATTTGTCAATACTACATTCAGGTTTAGTGCTCACACTTCTGATTTTCCTTAAGCCACTTTTTCAGTTTAGTGGAGAAAAGTCTAGTGTCCGACTGTGACTTCAGCTCCAGCGGCAAAGAGTTCCACAGATGTGAGGCCTTCACTGAGAATGCAGACTGACCCAGAGTCGTCCGGCACCTTCTCACTCTGCAGCTCCCAATGACTGCAGCTCGAGTCTGCTCGACTGCTCACTGCTGCACCTTTGGATGTTTTTACACATTACTTCAGGGGCTAATCCATTAAGACACTTAAACAAAGCTTTTAAAAAGGTAAAATGTATAAAATTATCAAAACTCATCATGTTGTATTTTTCAGTAATTTGGCAGTGATGATGCTTCATTGGCTTTCGATCATATATTTTGAGTGTTTGTTTATATAATGATAACAAAGGCTTCACTACAGACTTTGTGGCTTGACCCCAGACAATGGCACAATAAGACATGTGGGATAATATCATAGCATGCATGTAAACTCGTGCAGCTTGAACTGATAAGCAGGGTCTAATCAACCTGAAACAATTTATATTTCTTTTTATGGTCTTAGTCATTTTTTTAACATGCCGATCAAAACTTAACTTAGGGTCCAAAATAACACCCAGGTATTTAAACTCCTTAACTTGTTTTATTTTATGTTGATTAACGCTGACCTCAATTTCATTGAGTGATTGTTTCTTCAGAGAAAAACACATTGAGACAGTTTTATCATAGTTCAGAGTTAAACAGTTATTTTCAACCCATGTTGATACTTCACTTAACTGTCTGTTTAATGTTTCTGAGGCCTGTTGAGAGGTGTCTGCCGCCACATAGATTATTGTGTCATCCGCATACGTTTGACAAGTTGTCTCTTTACAAATGTTGGGCAGGTCATTAATATATAAGCTGAAAAGCAGCGGACCTAAAATGGATCCTTGTGGCACCCCCAGATCACAGCTTTGTATATCATATTTTGTACCATTTATTTTAACACATTGTTGTCTCAATTCAAGATATGATGTAAACCAATTTATGGTTTGTTTTGAAATATTAATTTGTTTTAATTTTGACAGCAGGACTAGATGATTTACTGTATCAAAGGCTTTTCTGAAATCTAAAAATACTGCTCCAACACATTTGCCTTGGTCCAAACTACATTTTATCATTTCGGTTAGATGACACACAGCCATTTCAGTGGAATGTTTGGGCCAAAATCCAAATTGTTTAGGATTTAATAAATTATTTTCTTTTAAGTGGGTCATCAATTGTTCAGCCACCAGCTTTTCAAGTACCTTTGAGATTATTGACACAATTGAGATTGGTCGATAATTGCATGCCTCGTCTGCTGCACCAGACTTAAAAATTGGTGTCACCACAGCTGTTTTAAAACTTTGTGGGAATTTATCATATTTAATTGATAGATTTACTAAGTGTAATATTGGTTTTGACAATGTTGTAACATGCCCTTTGATTAAAGAGGTGTCTAAGTTAAAAATATCTTTTGCTTTTGACTTGTTCAGGTGGCTGATGATTTCATGTATCTTATTTTGATTAGCCTGTGTTATGTGAAAAGATGAGGGTAAATCTTCCACATCGTTGCATTGCAGCGTTTTTGGAATAAAACTGACTGCAAGTTGTTGAACAGAGTTAATAAAATATGAATTGAATTCATTTGCAATTTGTGAAGCATCATCACTAACCATGCCATTTACCTTAAGTCTTGATATACAATGTCCTGAAGTAAATGTGTGATTGGTTAATTTATTAATATGTTTCCAAATTAGTGAGCTATTTCCCCTAGAATCGGCAAACATCTGCATGAAGTAACAAGATTGTGACTTTCTCAATTCACTCACCACTTTATTTCTTAATCCTTTAAAGACTAGGATATCAGTTTGTAGCTTACTTTTTAAGGATTTTCTCAGTGCCAGGTCACGCTTTTTCATAAGTTGATGAATATCATTGTTTATCCAGGGCAAACAATGTTTTTTCTTATTGTTCTTCAGAGTACATGTAAATTTCTGTATAGTATTTGATAGAATCTCAGTTAGCTGATTACAGCACAGGTCTACATCTTCAATTTGAATTACACTCAGGGAAACATCCATCCAAAAGAAAGTCTCGTTCCTCCGCGCTTCCCGGTTCTATCGTTTTATGGTCACGCCATCCACGTGAAAATCCATATCCATGTATTATCCATATTGGGAGACGCTAGCTCCGTCAACAACAGTGAGTGTGTGTGGGGGGTGATAGCTTCGTGGGTGCGGGGAGGGGAGCAGAAAGAGAGAGGCCAGCGAGTCCGCGGCTTCAAAATCCCAAAGTCAGTTAGTGCAGCTTTAATGTATCACATCCATTGAACCAGGACCTGCTTCTGAAATGGGAGGTTTCACAGATCTATGTGGCAAAAGGCTATGAGCGTTTAGAAGATATTGCAGGTCTGTTTTTGATGAGGGGAAGATGTTGGAGGATGGCTAAACACTCAAATTCAATTGTGTGTATTGCATGTCGTGCAAATAAAAAGGGTAAACTGAAGAAATCTTTGTTTTATCAAAAGCCAAGACCAGATGCAATCCTTTAAATGCTCTCTATGTAACTGATCCAAGCTGCTCTGGGAAGAATAGAAATGTTTAACATTTGTTTGTGGCTTAAAAAGATGGAGATAATGTCATTTGTGAAGCTGAAGTCAGAGAGAGACAAGAGACAAGAGACAGAGAACAGGGAGAGACCATAGTTGATATGTGCTGTCAAAGAAGATTTGTTTCATGTGAATATTTCCAGGATTTACGGAGATGCAGGAAATGTGGCCATCTCTGCATGTGAAAGCCAGATCCCAAAGCCCAGTGGCTACAGTAGTAGTTTATCACCACTGTGTATGGAGTGAAAGCATAATGACAGGTGAAGCGTCTTTGAGCGTCCAAAAAGCACAATACAAAACCTATGCATTGTAAAAATTTGGCTGTAAATTAGGACTAGGATCTGACAATTTGACAATTACTTTTCAGAGACCTACTGTATGGCAGACTACAAACAGTGTTGCCAAATGAGATTCTGTCTTCTGCCCAAATGTAAGCTTTGAAAAAACATTAAAACCAGATAATGGGAATGTCTTGTCAGTAACAACTTTTTTTGCTTCGCTGCTCACATGAGTTTAAGTGAGCCGGGACGTCCAAACATTCGCATACCACAGTGTATGAATAAAGACTACATCCAAGTTCCACATTTCAGCCCCAATCTACACCAGAAACAAACACTGACAAAGAGCAGAGCCAAGAAATCACATATGGTTGAGGAACTGTCATGGATTGAGCTGAATACAAATTTAGGACAATGTGATGACCTTGTCTGCTATATTTCTAAAGCAAAAATACAACAGTATTAAATCAGCCAGAAATTAACAAACACGCTAAACATCTCTCTTCAGAGAAAGACATGTGGAGGTTGGGAAGGAGAGATAATCTATCGGTTTAAACACGTAGTCCAGAGATGGACCAGAGGGACAGCAAAATGGGGCTGGAGAGACCAGAATGAGAATGTGGGAATAATTCAGTTAGAATGTTGTATCCTTATCTGCTATAGTTATAAAACGAGAATATTTTAATTGGCTGGAACTAAACTAACAGACAAACTAGACATCTCTCTTCACAAAAGGAGGTATGTGTAATCAGTTCCAACAAGGAATCAGTCCTAATATTTTTGAGATATTGAGTCTGACTGATATGTTTGTATATTTATTGAAGACATTTCAGAAAATTTCAGACACTTGGCAGCAAGATACAAAAATAAATAAGTCAGTCTTTAAAAAAAATAACTGTCTCTTTTGCCCACCCTGGAAAAGAAACAAGTAGCTAAATGAAGCTAAAGTTTAGTTTTAAGGTAAATGTTAAATGTGCATTTATGTTTTTATATGAAAACGTGTACATTTGACCTTGTAACTCAGAGAATAGACTTTAAATCAGCTCTGCTTTTGCACAATTCTCTCTCTGGCCCAAAAGCACATCTGTGATATGTGCTTTCATATGAAGCAACTCAGAGGAGCAATAGTTGGTTCAAAAAAATCCGTCCAGGACCATCTATACTGGGGATGACGGGACCAAGAGGGATGTAAACATGGGAAAACGAGAGGTAATAAAACTTACGGCACTGAGATCGTAGATGACCTGTCGGCAGCAGCAATGGATGCAAGTGAAATATGACACACTGAACTCAAAACATCTCCACAAGAAAGAAAATACAAAAGGACTGGAGTGAAGGTCTGAGACAGAACTCCTCCCGTACTAAGATTGGTGGGACTTTACACCAATCTTAGCAATCATTATCCTGTTGACATTTCTGAAGTGTACGGCACTTTCGGCTCTTTTAGCAGTAAATGTGCTAGATAAATAAAGTTGGCTTTTGATGTTACATAAGAAGACGGTTTTAAAGAATGGAACTGAGACCACACGCTGAAGAGAGAACATCGGAGTGTAGTGTCCTTGTGCTACAATGACATCATGCCGTTACCGGACTGCGACAGGAGCCTTTTAGTCATTGTTTTTATGAACTTTTCTTTCTTCGAAAAAACAAATCATTTTGACTGCTCCATTCATTTGAATGTAAAAATTGGTTCTGGACTGGTCCTGGTTTGGCTTGATTTTCCCCCAGAGAAGAGCAACAAACTATTTACTTTACAGCAGTTAGCATTAGCCTTCTAAAAAACAATTGTGAAGTTGTGAAAACCGTTTTTTTAGATTTTTTTCACAATTCCTTTTATAATGCACACTTTATTTATTCCGATAGGGATTTTTTTGTTCCCTGCATTTGACCCATCCTGCAATGCCACTGGGCATCCGTCAGGGGCAGTGGTCACCGTAGTACAGAGCTCGAGTACAATACAGAACTAACAAAGCCAAGAGGGGTCAGAGTTGGAAGAATTTTTCCTAATGAGCATGTTTTTAGTGGTAGGGAAAAGATACAGGGAGAACATTCTAAGAAACTTCTTAGAATAACTCTGTTTCAATTGGGATTCGAACCCAGAAGTGAGACCACTGTGCCACTGGCCAGCCCAAATGGCCCTCAGTTGGTAGAGAATTGGCCTTTGAACCCGAAGGTCATGGGTTTGAGCCCATCAAAGCCCATGTTAGTCACAGAACAGTGTGTATGGTACCTGCTACAGTCACAGAGCAGTGAGTATGGTACCTGCTACAGTCACAGAGCAGTGTGTATGGTACCTGCTACAGTCACAGAGCAGTGTGTATGGTTCCTGCTACAGTCACAGAGCAGTGAGTATGGTACCTGCTGCAGTCACAGAGCAGTGTGTATGGTACCTGCTACAGTCACAGAGCAGTGTGTATGGTTCCTGCTACAGTCACAGAGCAGTGTGTATGGTTCCTGCTACAGTCACAGAGCAGTGAGTATGGTACCTGCTGCAGTCACAGAGCAGTGTGTATGGTACCTGCTGCAGTCACAGAGCAGTGTGTATGGTACCTGCTACAGTCACAGAGCAGTGTGTATGGTACCTGCTACAGTCACAGAGCAGGGAGTATGGTACCTGCTACAGTCACAGAGCAGTGTGTATGGTACCTGCTACAGTCACAGAGCAGTGAGTATGGTACCTGCTACAGTCACAGAGCAGTGTGTATGGTACCTGCTACAGTCACAGAGCAGTGTGTATGGTACCTGCTACAGTCACAGAGCAGTGTGTATGGTACCTGCTACAGTCACAGAGCAGTGTGTATGGTACCTGCTACAGTCACAGAGCAGTGTGTATGGTACCTGCTACAGTCACAGAGCAGTGTGTATGGTACCTGCTACAGTCACAGAGCAGTGAGTATGGTACCTGCTGCAGTCACAGAGCAGTGTGTATGGTACCTGCTACAGTCACAGAGCAGTGTGTATGGTTCCTGCTACAGTCACAGAGCAGTGAGTATGGTACCTGCTGCAGTCACAGAGCAGTGTGTATGGTACCTGCTACAGTCACAGAGCAGTGTGTATGGTACCTGCTACAGTCACAGAGCAGTGAGTATGGTACCTGCTGCAGTCACAGAGCAGTGTGTATGGTACCTGCTGCAGTCACAGAGCAGTGATTATGGTACCTGCTGCCGTCACAGAGCAGTGATTATGGTACCTGCTGCAGTCACAGAGCAGTGATTATGGTACCTGCTGCAGTCACAGAGCAGTGATTATGGTACCTGCTGCAGTCACAGAGCAGTGATTATGGTACCTGCTGCAGTCACAGAGCAGTGTGTATGGTACCTGCTGCAGTCACAGAGCAGTGATTATGGTACCTGCTGCAGTCACAGAGCAGTGATTATGGTACCTGCTGCAGTCACAGAGCAGTGATTATGGTACCTGCTGCAGTCACAGAGCAGTGTGTATGGTACCTGCTGCAGTCACAGAGCAGTGAGTATGGTACCTGCTGTAGGGACAGAATGTTGCTCTTGTCCAGGTCCATCTGAGAGGACCGCAACTTCTCCCTCAGCTCCCGGATCATTTGCTGATAAACCAGGATCTCGTCGTCTTTCCCGGACAACACGCCCTAAAAGAGAAAGAAGGAAATGTTCAGAGTATGGAGTCAACAGTTTGCGTGCATCGGCGGTACCTTCCACTGCTCCACTTTGGCATTGACGGCGGCCATGATGGGGTCCTCGTCCTCCGACATGCTCTGGATCTTCTCAGTCAGCTCTCGCACCTGTTACAACAAGGATACAGCGAAGGGGAAAAGATTAGAATCACAAAATACTGTGTAGCATGACTGGAACCAATAGATTGTTACTCTACTTTTGATCCATCAGTGACACAAAATACAAATGTATGCATAAACTCATGGATAAGATGGAAGATCATACGTTGAATTATTTATTTCAGTCAATAAGGTGCCCATGCTGAGGCCAGCTCCTGTCCAGCCCATAGAGCGTATATTAGGAGTGGAATGACCAAGTGTGACCTCACTATAGTGACATGACTATAGTGGAAGAAGCCGATTTCAACATGAGCTAACTGGAGTTATTTTTCATATATGGCCATTACAGGGAAAGATGGCTCATATATAGATTTACAGGACACAAGATGACATCACAATACAAACACTAAGATCACAGAGAGCACTTTTGAGCTCAAAATGATGAGTGCTACACAAACGGTTACTTAGCCATGAGAGCTTACTTTTACATGTAAGTCAATAGGAGCCAGTGCGTGTTGGAGCACAACTTCCTTCAGGAGCACTTCCTTCTAAAGCTAAATGCATAGTATTTTCCATCTGTGTACATAGATATCACTCTAGTCTCAGTATACATGCAGGCTCAGACCACTTTAGTCTCAGTATACATGCAGACCACTCTTATCTCAGTATGCATGTAGACTAAGCTCTAGTCTCATGTATATTGAGACTAGCGTGGTCTGAGTTTCATGTATACTGAGACTCAGACCACTCTACTCACAGTATACATGAGACTCAGACCACTCTAGATTGAGTATACATGCTGACCACTCTGGTAGTAGCAGTTTTCTATGTGTGGATCTCTAATTCAGAGCATACATTTGTCTTGTAGATTTTGAGGCCTGCTTTTGTCTCGTGGGTGGCGGACGGCACAAACCAGTCAGTGAGAGTTTATGGCTTTGAATTACAGCGTTCAGGTTACGACGTCCTACATAAATCTGCCTCTTCAAACTCCCTTTTTGCTATCACCTTCATATCTTGTACTTCCTGATGAGGACAAGTCTTTGACTGAACACAACACGGCGGAATGGAAGCCCATAAGAGCTATAAAACTCAATAATGACCTGTGATGGTGAACAAAACACTTTTAAATATATACAAATATGAATTGGCCATGTACTGTGAGATTTTGAGTGAAAACCTCCTTCAACAGTAAGGGCACTGAACATGAAACGTGACTGTCTCTTTAAGCACAACAATCCTCCTAAACACACTGCACGGACAACAAAGGAATGGCTTTTTGTAGTCTAATTTTAAGGTCCTGGAATGGCAATAGCCAGTCTCTAGATCTCAACCCCATCAAAATGTTTGGAGTCTGTGTCGCCCAATGACAACCAAACTCAAAATATCTCTCTCTAGAAAAAATCTGCATGGAAGAATGGGCTAAAATACCAGCAACAATTTGAAAACCTTGGGAAGACTTATGACATTTGTTTGACCTCTGTCATTGCCAACAAAGCGTTTATAATAAAGTATGAAGGACAATATGCAGACACCCTCTGCATGGAACTATGGCCGCTCAGAAGAGTAATCGTGGCAACAGGCTACTATCACTGCGCCGCCTAACAGAAGGTCTCAAGAGATCCTTTGTTACTTCAGCTGTCAGACTGTACAATAGACCTGCATGAGTCTTCTGCTGCTGGACACCGACATTTCTCCTACGAGGATCAATAAAGTATCGATCTATCTATTTAAAAGAAAGAACATTTTGTCCACAAATAAGCGGCAGGTTTTCAAGTCCATTACCTCTACAACATTCCAACTTTACCACAAGAAAAATACACATATTAGCCACATCGCTAAATAAGCAGCAGGGTTCATTTTCATTTCATTTCATTCATTGCATTTCATTTATTGTCGTTTGGTCATTCACAGTCATTCCAGTTTAAAACAAACTGTCATGGTGTGGATTTTATTTGGTTTTACTTTGACATAAGTTTGGTTTTAGATGTACATCCTGTCTTGTTCCCCTGTGTTGATTGTCTGCCCCGCCCTGATGTGTTTCACCTGTGTCTGTGTCTATATGTACCCAGTGCTCCTTTCCTCTTGTTGCTGGTTCATTGTATTGTCTGTCCTCGTCAGTTTGTGTTCCTGGTTCTTGTTTGGATTTTGTTTTCATCTTGGACTTTTATTTGATTTTTATCATTAAACCATTTTTGTTTTTCGCATTCCTGCATTTTGAGTCCTCCATCACTTCACCCCGTGACAGAATGAACCAGCCAACACAAGGACTCAGCGGAATGAGTTTTCTTTTTTTCACCACACCTGCTCCCAGTTCATCTCCAATCACCAGGTTTTAACTTATTTTTCGCCTTCACTTCACTGCCTACCTCTACCCGTTACCTACAACCACCGCCAGACAAGAAACTCCGTCTGGGGTGGTCACCTGTCCTGCACCACCGCCGGGCATGGTGGTCCGTCCGGGGTGGTCCTCTGTTCCCCTCCCCCTGACCTGCTGAGAGGTACCCAGTGAAGTCCTGGTCTGGATATTCTCGTCTGTCTGTCGCCCTACGATGACCTCTCCTTCCCCTCCCCTGTTGCCACCGCCAGACATGGATGTCCGTCTGGGGTGGTTTTGTCTGTGTCACCGCCGGGCATATGTCTCCGCCCGGGGTGAGCCAGTTTCCCTACGGAAGGTCATCACTGGGCTCCAGCTTCGGTCCCTGATTGATTTGGACACTGCTTCGGACATGAAGTTCCCTCCGCTGGACCCCCTCCACCCTCCCTGGTTTGGGTTTTTGGGACATCTGGGAGCTGTCCCTTGGAGGGGGGGTACTGTCATGGTGTGGATTTTATTTGGTTTTACTTTGACATAAGATGTACATCCTGTCTTGTTCCCCTGTGTTGATTGTCTGCCCCGCCCTGATGTGTTTCACCTGTGTCTGTGTCTATATGTACCCAGTGCTCCTTTCCGCTTGTTGCTGGTTCATTGTATTGTCTACGTCTGTATTGTCTGTCCTCGTCAGTTTGTGTTCCTGGTTCTTGTTTGGATTTTGTTTTCATCTTGGACTTTTATTTGATTTTTATCATTAAACCATTTTTGTTTTTCGCATTCCTGCATTTTGAGTCCTCCATCACTTCACCCCGTGACACAAACACGACAACATAAATTAGTCTGTGCATGACCAGGCACAGGCTGAAGCCAAAGCTTATTGTGCCTGCCCCTAATCGATCTTATTAAGAACTAGGAAACTAGAACTAGGAAACTAGGAACTAGGAAAGAACTAAGAAAAAGAAGCGGCTTATAGTCCGGAATTTATTTTCCACAAAAATGTGCAAATAAATTCTTTGATTTTCTGGTCTCAGTACAAATTCAGCCCACCCTGGCACATTGTTCTTCATTGGAGTGAGGCAAAATGAGTTCTTGATTTTGAAGTATTTTGTGAAGGCCGTGCCCCATTCAAAATATATACAGTGCCTTGCGAAAGTATTAGGTCCCTTTGAACCTTTCAACATTTCGTCACTTTTCAGGCTTCAAACATAAAGATTTAATTTTTTGTCATGAATCAACAACAAGTGGGACACAATCGTGAAGTGGAACGAAATTTATTGGATAATTTAAACTTTTTTAACAAATAAAAAACTGAAAAGTGGGGCGTGCAATATTATTCGGCCCCTACTTTCAGTGCAGCAAACTCACTCCAGAAGTTCAGTGAGGATCTTTGAATGATCCAATGTTGTCCTAAATGACCGATGATGATAAATAGAATGCACCTGTGTGTAATCAAGTCTCCATATAAATGCACCTGCTCTTTGATAGTCTCAGGGTTCTGTTTAAAGCGCAGAGAGAACCATGAAGACAAAGGAACACACCAGGCAGGTCCGAGATACTGTTGTGGAGAAGTTTAAAGCCGGATTTGGATACAAAAAGATTTCCCAAGCTTTAAAAATCTCAAGGAGCACTGTGCAAGCAATTATATTGAAATGGAAGGAATATCAGACCACTGCAAATCTACCAAGACCCGGCCGTCCCTCCAAACTTTCATCTCAAACAAGGCGAAGACTGATCAGAGATGCAGCCAAGAGGCCTATGATCACTCTGGATGAACTGTAGATAACTACAGCTGAGGTGGGAGAGTCTGTCCATAGGACAACAATCAGTCGTGCACTGCACAAATCTGGCCTTTATAGAAGAGTGGCAAGAAGAGAGCCATTTCTCAAAGATATCCATAAAAAGTCTTGTTTAAAGTTTGCCACAAGCCACCTGGAAGACACACCAAACATGTGGAAGAAGGTGTTCTGGTCAGATGAAACCAAAATCGAACTTTTTGGCCACAATGCAAAACGATATGTTTGGCGTAAAAGCAACACAGCTCATCACCCTGAACACACCATCCCCACTGTCAAACATGGTGGTGGCAGCATCATGGTTTGGGCCTGCTTTTCTTCAGCAGGGACAGGGAAGATGGCTAAAATTGATGGGAAGATGGATGGAGCCAAATACAGGACCATTCTGGAAGAAAACCTGTTGGAGTCTGCAAAAGACCTGAGACTGGGACGGAGATTTATCTTCCAACAGGACAATGATCCAAAACATAAAGCCAAATCTACAATGGAATGGTTCACAAATAGACGTATCCAGGTGTTAGAATGGCCAAGTCAAAGTCCAGACCTGAATCCAATCGAGAATCTGTGGAAAGAGCTGAAGACTGCTGTTCACAAACGCTCTCAATCCAACCTCACTGAGCTCAAGCTGTTTTGCAAGGAAGAATGGGAAAGAATTCCAGTCTCTCGGTGTGCAAAACTGATAGAGACATACCCCAAGCGACTTGCAGCTGTAATTGCAGCAAAAGGTTGCGCTACAAAGTATTAGCGCAAGCCTGAAATGTGGCGAAATGTTGAAAGGTTCAAGGGGGCCGAATATTTTCGCAAGGCACTGTAATAGCTACATTTGAAATGCTTTATTGCAGTGACGAAAATATGCTTGTTTTCACAGCTTGGAGCAGATAAATCAGCGCATGAGCGTCTGCAGACCGGACACACACACGCATCCCTGGTCTCCTCCTTCTTTCTTTCTGTCTTTTTAGTGGGAACTAGTCGACCTCATTATCAGCAGAGGTACATATTAACCTGTAGATCGGACATAACTCAACTGGGTGATTTAAAAGCTGTGAATGCGGGCTACTCCTCATGGTTTTTTACCATTTTGAACACAAATTAAAAAATCCAAAACACTTTTACTGAAGAAAAGTCCATTTTGGAAGAAATAGTGAGTTTAAGAGCCGACTGTCGCGATCAAATGGAATAATGAAAAGAGCTGGTCATTTTTATTTTAAGAATTTAAGAACTGGGGTACGTCACAAAACGTATTGTGTATTATTGTGGAATAATACACAATAAGTAGCAGAAAACGTCTTGTAAAGAAAAAAAATTGTGAATAAATCAGACCACAACATACTGCCATCTCATTAGAAAAGATGTTGTCTTTTGTGTAAGAAAGAGCCCTGTGATTCTCTATTTGACGCTCTCTTGTCTCTCTCTGGCCTCTCTCTGGCCTCTCTCTGGCCTCTCTCTGCTCTCTCTCTGGCCTCTCTCTGGCCTCTCTCTGGCCTCTCTCTGGCCTCTCTCTGGCCTCTCTCTGGTCTCTCTCTGGTCTCTCTCTGGTCTCTCTCTGGTCTCTCTCTGCTCTCTCTCTGCTCTCTCTCTGCTCTCTCTCTGCTCTCTCTCTGCTCTCTCTCTGGTCTCTCTCTGGCTCTCTCTCTGGCCTCTCTCTGGCCTCTCTCTGGCCTCTCTCTGGCCTCTCTCTGGCCTCTCTCTGGCCTCTCTTTGGCCTCTCTTTGTGTAATTACAGTTGTAGTGTTAAAGTGTGTGTGTGTTCCTGCCAGTCACCTGGATCTTGGCGTGGTCCCTGTCCCTCCGGAGCTGGTCCATCACTGCGTCTGTCTGCTGGACCACAATCTTCATGCGGTTGTACTCGTCGGCCATCTTGTCCATCTCCTGCACAGACTCCTCCAGGCTCCGCTGCAGCTGCTCGTTCTGCGACTTCAGGTCTGCATTTTCGTCCTCCGTTCGCTGCGAGATCAAAAGATAAGAAGGGTTAAAACAGGTGATATGCGTGTCCCTGATATGAGGGTCCTTACTGATTTTTTTCTATATTTTTCTTCTCTGACAATGTTCAAATCCTGGTAAAAAGCAGTTCTGTTTAGCTGAGTATACAAATAAGGAATGCTTTATTCTTTCTATTTAATGCACTATGATTATTTATGGTCTTTGACTTTCTAAAACTCTTGTTTTACTCAGCACTTTGAGTTGCCTTGTGTATGAATTGTGCTATGGCTAACTCCACACTAAACTGTACAATTGCTCTAAAAAAACTGTATGAATCAAAACTGTTTGTACCTAATAATTCTTTAATACTATGTAGCTTATAGATAGTCATTACATATATTTTGGGGACATAATTTATACATATAGGACATGTCATGGTGGAGGCTTTGTGAATGGAATAATTAACAGGACAGGGAAGACTATTGAAAGGCTTATGATTGGGTATATAGCTATAATTAACATCTAATTATAGATTATATATTAAGCAAAAATATGATTCAATAACTTCAGACAAACTGGGCATTTTGGACGTAACACACCGCGCCCACTACGTCACAAATGGCTGTCTGGAGCGCAATTAATAGTGCGGGCATGAACGAATCTGTGATTAAGTCGTACGCCCTTCACTAGACTTTTTTGTGTCATTGACCCGTATGTAACACATTAGTACAGTTTAGTGTGAAGTGAGCCCTGTACAAATAAACTTGCCTTGCCTTTTTAATTCAAGGCTCAAAACTAATTTGTTCAGACTGGCTTTTAACACTTTTAAGAGAGTAAGTAATCTTTATTTATATTGCATCTTTCATAGAGCAAAGTCACAGAGGGCTATACAATTGTTGTGAGCATTTGTCTCCCACTCCACACAGAGATGGGAGCGAGGTCCCCAGAACAGGAGGCGCATGCCAGACCTATTCTACATGTTTAACACTCATTAGCGGGGTGGCACTTTTTTATGCTTTCTTAATGCTTGTTAATGCTTGTTAATGCTTGTTAATGCTTTTTAATGCTTTTTAATGCTTTTTAACTGTTTATTGTTTGATTCCAGTATTGTTTTAATTGATTTTATGAGATTTGATTGTAAAGCTTTGGTCAGTGTTGTCAAGGGCTCTACATATAACATCCAAAGAGAGAGAAAGAGAGAACAGAGACAGACCAGAGAAAGAGACCAGTGAGAGAGACCAAAGACAGACCAGAAAGAGAGAGACCAGAGAGAGAGAGACAAGAGACGGATCATAAATGAAATCACACAAAATACATCTGTTTCCATGGATCATTATGACATTCCCACAGCAAAACACTCCCTCCTGGTCCTCTGTATGGCCTGTCTTTTGGTTTTCATTCCCTGCATACTGTAAATATACTCAGTGCATTTTTTCTGGTTCCAGCATTCTTCCGATGGGCCACAAATCACGAGTCCAGAGGAACAGTAGTAAAACAGGTGTGGTGTATTAAAAAGAGCGATGAGGGAGACAGCGCTGCAGAGGGTCCGCTCCTCCCTAAATCATCAGAGGTTATTTCAAACAGGCTCGCTGTGGAAAAATACAGTTAGACATAATAATGAGCTTAAAAACTAAAACTATTGAAATCAATTCATCTACAAAACAGCAGCCGTCTTGGAAGACTTTACAATAGGCATGTCAAACTCAGGCCCGTGGGCAAAATCTGGCATGTTTTTTCATATGGAGCAGCTGTAAAAATTACACAGGGTAGCTATAAAACACCTGCTTTACAAAATTGATGATTCGTCAACAACAGATCCTTACTCAAGTGTCATTTGAAAGCCGAATGAAAAGTTGATTACCTGCAGATCCTCCAGACACTGGTAGAGCTGCCTGTTGGCCTGGGTCAGCTTCTTCTGGACTTCCGCACCCTCGTCTCGTGATGTCGCAGGCTCTTTGGCATCGAGTTCGCCCCGGTAGTAATCCACGTCCTGGCTCAGCTGGTCATTCTGCTCGACCAAACAAGAAATAACAACAATATAACATGTGTGGTACTTGTGGAATAGGATATTGCATTTAGTAAAGCAGTCTTTTGTAACAGAGGGTACTATGGGAGTACGCAGGGCTATTACATGGTATACTTGAAATGATTTACTAGTACATTATATCCATCTATCCATCTATATCTGTGCAACACAAGATTCTGGCTTAAATACTAAGGAACAGACAAAGGAAAGTAAGTAATCTTTATTTATATACCGCCTTTCACAGACCAGAGTCACAAAGCAGAAAGTGGGATCCAACACTGGGTCACTATTAAAACTTTTTCAGAGATCTTACCTCCTTCTTCAGTTTTTTAAGCTTGAGGTTTGCAAAACGAACAGTAAAGATGCTTGTGATATATTGGCTTAAATCAGTGCATTTTATAAAGTCGTCATGTGCTAGTTTTACCATTCTTTTCAGACGTAGGACTTCTCCCTCCGCTTCCTCTGCTCGAGCCTTCATCTGCAAAACAGCAACAGCAAACAAAAAATACACATAGTATTTTCAGCGGTAGGAGCAGAACTGCTACACAAGCTCCTTAATCCTGGACTCTTTCAATACAGTGACAGATTTTCCCACAAACGTCTCCCGACATTTTTCTAACATAATTTTTGTCAATGCATTTATATTTTTGATTAAAGTTCTCCACTATCTTTTATTAAATTACAGGACGTCACCTTTTGACTATTTCACAATACAGTGGAAAAAAAAACATACAAACTAACATACATGAACAAAAGTTCTTTAAGTTTAAGGTTCTTTTAATGAGACAAAGAGTGTAAAGAAGCTAGTTCTGCTTAATCACCTCATGATTGAACGGTAGACTTCTGCCTTAGCTAGAGGTGTCTCTTATCTGCTGCTGTTACCAGATACGGTTAGTCTGACAGATCAGGCAGATCCATCAATATAATAATAATCATAATGCATTGGTTTTATATTGCACTTTTTTTGGACACTCAAACCCACTGTGACTGGATCCGGCTTTCGCATGAAATTATGACCACGCCCACTCGCCCCTGTTGATGGTCTGTGAGCCTTCCTGATTACAATCACCACTTGTATCCATCTTTTGCAATAATGTTCTTCCTCCTCTGACGAAGGCGGAAATCTAAGTCGCCCAAACTTGTGGTAATCAAGCAGAACTAGTTTCTCTGTCTTATTAGAAGAAATTTCTAAGCCCGAGTTGTATGTCCGGAGGCTGAGCCTAGGTCAGATAAGAATTTTCTGACGTAGGCTCACTGAAGTATGTAAAATTAAGTCTCTCTTTATTTATTCTACAGACACTGCAGAATAGCATTTGGGGATTCAGACGACTGCTTGATGGCTACAACTGTGTATGTTAGTAGTATTAGGATATGGACACATCCTGTGAATAAATACCACAGACAGTGACTTCACAGATGTGGAAGAGCTCAAGACTGGGGCCAAGTTGCAGAGGAGACTCAGGCCAAGTCGGGCAAATGAAAAAGTGGCTTATTACACATTGGACCCCTCAACCCAGAAATGGGGAAGAAAATAGATGAATGGAATTATTGAATAGAAAAAACAGTAAGTTTACCTCCTGCCTAAGCTCCCGTTCTTTGCCCATGTCTTTCTTCAGCTCGGTTGCCTCTTTCTGCCACTGCTCCAGCTGCGACTCCAGATGCCCCAGCTGCGAGCTCAAGAACCTGCTGTCTGAGCCCGAGGCGCCACGCGGCACCTGGAGGACGAGAACAACACTTACAAAGAAGGATAACACAGACAAGGATTCATCTGATGTATTAGAGACAACAGAGGCGCCTGGAGAAAAGACAGTCCAAAGAAGGGAGTTAGTTTAATTGGTGCAAATATACTTAATTTGTGGCGATGTGAAACCACCAAACATGTTGGTGCCGTGGTCCACTGGCAACAAAGCTGGGATACCTAACTTTCAATCCACAAAATGTATTACTATATATATTACTTTTTTAATTTTATATATTACTATAAAATCCCTGTCACTAGTTCCTGGCTCTATAATAATTTTCTTCTATCACAAGTTGTTGGCCTCGGTCACACCTTCAGATAAACTTTTTCTGACAAAAAAACCCAACTTCACTCAGCAAATCATCTCTCAGCCGAAAGCATCAATTAGTGACTCACAGGGCTCTTTCTTGGAATAAATCATTTAATCTAATAAGATGAAAACAACATTTTACTTGTGTGTTATTTATGTAGCACAATATAAGTCAATAGAAGCCAGAGCAAGTTGGAGCAAAACTTAGCCCATGAGCACTTCCCTATTGGGCTTCATTGAGCTAATGAAGCATGCTAATAATGCTAAGCATTGTCCATATATGTTAGTATATGATTGTGATGGGGGCGACAGTAGCTCAGTTGGTAGAGCATTGGCCTTTAGGCCTGAAGGTCGTGGGTTTGTTTCCCACCTCGACACCGACTCCCACTGATGACTGCTGTCGTTGTGTCCTTGGGCAAGACACTTAACCCCGCTTTGCCTGAAGCCCCCACTGAAAGATCTCAGCTCCTGTGGACTCATCACCTGCAGGAGGATCAGTGAGGGGCTGCTGCTATGTGTACTGGGTGCAGCTCTGACTGCCACCCCCCCGACCCAGAAATGGATTAAGGGGAAGAAAAAGGATGGATGGATGATTGTGATGCATGGATCTAACATTTGTCTTTGAATCAAGCTTGAAAATCTTGCAATGGCCAACACTATTGTTTCCTTCTCAAAATTGTATACTTCACTCTCCAGATTAAACATCCATCCATGAGTTGTTGATGTTAGAAATGACATGACACAAAGACATAACGCAGACGTACCGGCCATTTATACTTCTCTTCCAGAAAGCATCACCAGTACACATTTATCTAACAAGCTCTTGTGTCACAGGTATAGAGCTACTTCATAGTTTTATATTTAAAAGCCCAAAATGTCACCTTCTCAAATGGCTGCCAGCCGGGCTCCTCATTGGTTCAAAAATGTCCGTAAACAACAATGGTCCTCACTTCTATACTTGGCTGAACAGAACTGTTGTAGCTGTAACAGTAGCAGGAGTCGTAGTAGTAGTAGTAGTAGTAAAGTGGTTGAAGGCAGAGCTGTGTACAAGTAAGTGTGGGGAATTAGCTTTATAATCCTCTTAGTGGTTTCAGCCAATCACAGAGCAGCAGGAGAAGCTCTGATTAGAGGGGACATACTCTTTAATAATAGATATTTTCTTGAATATTCTCTTTACTATAAGCCATAACACTGATATTAAACAGCTCTTCTCAGTTTTACTTTTACATCAATACAGCAGCTAAACTTAGAAGTCCAAGTGTCTTTTCTCATGTGTTTTCTCATTTTTGATGATACCGTAAATTCTGGACTATAAACCGCAGATTTTTTCCCGCACTTTGACTGCTGCGGCTTATAGTAAGGTGGGACTCATTTTTTTCTGTGGCACAATAAACATTTTGCCAAGTAACTGTAGACCAACAGAATTGAGGAGTAGTTCACAAAGGTCCAATTAAATTGTACTGTATGATGTGTCAATCGAATAAAGGAATATCTTAATCAGTCATTTGTACTCCGCCCTCATAATGTGTGCTCCCAATACAAACGTACAGTATATTAAAAGGTCACAGGCACTGTTAGAAAAAAAGCATTGCAAAATGGGTGTCAAAGTCAACTGCCCCACCTCTGTGTTACTTGCAGCCCATTCACACGGTATAATCAAAGTCTGTAAACTGCTACAGTTTCACTGACATCACAGTTGGATTTGTCGTGTCATAACGGCACGTATACACACGGCCCGTGAAGTGGAGAGAATCGTGCTGCAGCCCGCCTGGGGGTCTGCAGGGCTAATATGAAATGCGCACAGCGCTCATTCACACATTCATTCTTACAGGCGGCTCCCAATCAAAACACATCAGAAACATGTTTGTGCTGATGGTCTTTGGCTCTAGATCAGCTCCACTTGCCCACAGTATTTAAACTTTAGGAGGAGGAAAAGAAGGTTTGACGGTGATTCTGGACACAGTTTTTCCCCTTTCATAAAGTCTGGTGTCGTACAGCAGCCACAGACACCATGATGACAAACACAAACATGTGAATATTACCGCTCTACATCAGTCGTCTGGTCTGTTCTGTCTTCTACACGTCTCCATAGACCTCACAGGGACAGCAGAGGAAAGGGAGCTCGTCCCTTCTGCGCTTTCGGTGGGTACGGGTCGTTATAGTTTGCTGCTATAAAGCTTCAAAACTGCAAATCAACATTTCTACCGCAGCCTCTATTGTTTGAGCCAGGAAGAGATAGGAAAAGTGCCAGACATTGGAAAAAGACAAACACAAGAATGTCCAGGACATGTGTTTTCTCTTTGAAGGAAGTTTTTGTCTGTGAGCCTGTTTAAAAATGTTTTTCACTTGAAATTACTGACAGAGCCATACAAAAATATTGGATTATTCATTTAATAAAATACAATAGCCACGTTTCCACCGCAGGAACTTCAAGGTAATTTTCCAGGGCCAGCCCTGTCTGTGTGTGTCTCCACTGCAGGAACTTCCACCAAAGTTTTAAAAAACTGAAGCAGGACTATACAAAACTCAAAGACCACACGGTTACATCCGTAAAATAAACAAATAGGTTTGGCATAAAGAGTTTCGCTTATGCGGCAAACGAAACTAATGACGTCGCCGATTGGTCCTACTCTGCAGTGGAGACACCGCCACTGAGAGGACCGAGGGAGAGGTTCCTGTAAATGTTCCACCCCGCTCCTTTTACCAGGAACTCCTGCGGTGGAAACATGGCTATAAAACTACATTGAACCAGTTCGGTTCATCACACTGTGGCGATAAACTACTACTGTAGCCACAGCTGCCCTAAGGCACACTGACAGAAGCGAGGCAACCAGTATGTGTCATCAGCCCCACCAACCACCACAATATGTATTTGCTTGTTATTGAGCCGATTAAATATAGTTTAAAGTCCTCACTTATAATGTCTTTGTGTAAATATTTCATTGGAAGATTAAGAACAGAACTTTACCTTAAATTCCTTTTCCAGTCTTTCAATTTCCTGGTTTAGTTCACTTTCTGAAAAATAAATATAAATAACAGACATCATTGATCCGTGGGATAAACACACGTTCAAATCACCAGAAGTTTTTCTGACCCTTCCTGACATGTTCTGCTCCCATGTTCTCCAGAAACTTGAATGCCACGTCCAACTCCTGGCCCTTGATCTGAAAACAGTGATGACGTCAGCCAATACGAGTCCAGATATAAAATACATCCTTTTATTGAGAAAAAGTTATTTCTATACACCTCAGTCTGTATAGTAAAGAGACATAAGAGAGACTAGAAAGAGATTCCAGAGATCAGATAGAGACCAGAGAGACCAGAGAGACCAGAGAGAGACCAGGGGGAGACCAGAAGGAGACCAGGGGGAGCCCAGAGGAAGACCAGAGGGAGACCATAGTTTGTATGTGTTGACAAAGAAGGTGTGGAACGTTGTGACAGTTTGTTTCACGTGGCTCTTTGGGGTGCGCAATGTCACATTAATTCAAACTATTATACTACTGTCTGACTGTACAATAAGCCACAGTGAAAAACCTGCACTGCTATTGCCACTCTTTCTTCAGTTGCCACTTTTATTGTACATAATATATCCTGAGCAGACTATATTTTTTGCCTTTAACATGTTTGCACACTTCTGTCTTTTGCACAATCTTTGAGTGACTCTATCTATTCCAAAAGTGACATGTAAATTTCTCCATTGTGAGATCAATAAAGTCTATCTTATCTTATCTTATTTGGATTGACAAATGTCACATGACATATGAATGAGGGGATTGTAAGGTTCTTGTGATTGTCTACTTTACCTTGAGCAGTGCCTGCAGCACCTGCAGAACATGTGTGATCTTCTTTGGAGCTTTGTCCGTCACTTGCCAATCCTCCGTCTGTGAACAGATATGATATTGGCACAAAGAATTAATGAATTTTCCAAACACAAAATCACAATCAGTTTTTCTGGTTTCACTCTTGTAGAAATTCTAGGAGTCATTTTGATGGCTCCTATTCAAATTCATGAAATTATGAAAAAGTCCCCGAAAGCAGTTTCAGATTTTCTCTACTTTTATTCAAATGACGCAACTAAATGAGTGCTAAACCTGATGAATCCATCCATTTTCCTCCCTTTAATCCATTTCTGGGTCGTGGGGGGTGGCAGTCAGAGTTACACCCAGAGCACCGGCCCCTCACTGATCCTCCTGCAGGTGGTGAGTCTACAGGAGCCTTGATCTTTCAAAGAGAGTTGTGAAGAAGGTCTCGTGGTGGGCTCGAACCCACGACCTTCAGGCTCAAAGGCCAATACCTGATAAATATTACTTGAAATATTGCAAAAACAGCTTCTTGAAATGCTCCAAATGCTAACTGCTACCAAGTAGACAGTGCGTTGCTATGGTAACTAGCACTTGCTCCAGTCCAGCTCTAGTCCAGGAACAGTCCAGGACCAGTCAAAGACCAGCACCCATGGATCTACTTCAACTGCCATAGATTGTTGGTAGATCAAAAATGGCTATGTTTGAATTTTACAGTGGCTGAGTGGATAGCACTCTCGCCTCTCAGCAAGAAGGTTCTGGTCGAATGCCGGTCGGAACAGGGCCTTTCTGAGTGGAGTTTGCATGTTCTCCCCATGTCTGCGTAGGTTTCCTCCGGGTACTCCGATTTCCCGTACCACTAAAAACATGTGCAATAGTTCAGGGTGAATGAGTGTGTGTTTGTGAGTGTGAATGTGGTACAACGGATGCAAATTGGCCCATGGCTACAATCCGGAGTAATTGTAGCCATGGGCTACAATGGCTACAATTGTGTGCGTTGGGACATGTAAGGTCCCAACCAAATACAAAATAACTGCTCTGGGAGTTCATAAAAATGATGACATAGACACAAACTAAGCTACATATAGAAACAAATTCACAATGTTATGAAGACCTTTTCAAGACCTTCTTCATAATGTTGTGAATTTGTTTCTTACACTACCACAACAAAAAGCTTTCACATTCAACCCAGGATGGGAAAGGTCACTGTGTTGTTTGAACCTGTGTCGGCTTTCACCAAAGGAAAAACAGGAACGTGTATAGGATAAGAATAGTTCCTACATGACGTCACTACATACGGGGATTTGCCGACCCGGCGCCATTTGTGTTGGCATGCTGTGGGCAAAACAATAGAAAAAGAAGCTGAAACGTGTTAATGTCGTGATATAGTTGAAAATGGTCATCTCCTGCTGGGTCAATGGATGTTCAAATCGTGCCGGAGGTTCCGTTAAACTTGGATTTTACAGTATACCCATCATTAGACTTCATGAATGTGAGAAGACTAAGCTTTTGTCAGAACAACGACGGAGGTTATGGCTTGCGAAGATAAACAGGCAAGAAACTCCCTCAAAACACGCAAGAATATGCTCGGAGCACTTTGTGTCAGGTGCGTATCGTATCTTATAATGTGTTGACAGACGTAATTTACTCAGTACTAACTTGTGTATGCTGATAGCTGGTAACTTGAAGCCGTGTTCAGACCGATCGCGATGGAGGAGTCAGGGGCGAGTGATTTACATGTTATGTCTATGGCCGGGTGCGCTCAGGAGCGAATGACAGGCCGGCGGTGCGAATGACGAGAGTAGAGCGAGGCGAACAGGGCGTTTTGAACGAAAAGAGCGGAACGAAAGTGGCGAAAGGGGCGTTTGACGCGCGCCTAGAGCCATTTCGCCTCCACCGCCCTACTCGCTCGAGTTGAAAAATCTGAACTTTTTGGTCAATTCGCGGGGCGTTGACCAATCAGGGACTGAATCGAGCAGTGACGTAGCATTGAACAACATTTAGTTATCTAACCTAATGGACTATTAATTATCTAACCCCCACCTGAAACGAGCTTATCGTGTCTAGTTTGGCATAACTAACTGATTAGTTTGGCATAAATCTAAAAGCTAAACAGTGGCACAATGGCTTTACATGTAAAGTACTTGGATTATAACATTTGGAATCTTATTTATTGAGAAACCGCTTGATTTACTAACCGAAGACAGATGGACAGGCGCTCTGCAGGGGAGATAGAGCGCCTGTAGTTGGTCTCCCGGACGGTGATCCGAGCCCCAACGCGGGACAGCAGGTCCTCAAACTGGGTCCTGGACACACGGAAATACCGCTGGAATCGACCGTCATCCAGGCGCAGCTCCTGGAGCAGATGGTGGTACTCCCCATATTGGGAGCGTCTCTGGAGGATATCGTGGACCCAGAGACGGCGTCGCTGCCGCCGCTGTTCGGCTTTCCACATTAAATAAAGTATAGTGACTCGTTCCAGAAAATCAAAGCCCGCCATGCTGAGTTGAACAACAACCGGAACCGGCAACTGGCCATAAGCTCCTCCTATTGGATGACGCGGCGAGGCGAAATCTCGACGAAAATCCGCAGGCGAACAGAGCGAGTAATCGCCGCGATAGAAGCGAGTGTCATCAAATATTCAAGCGAAAAACGCCTGGCGTTTGATGCGATTTTTTCGCCTCCATCGCGATCGGTCTGAACACGGCATGAGAGTTTCATTATTTAGCGTTAGATTACTTTATTATGAGGAGGATCGGTGTCGCGTCCGAGGCTCTCGAGGGCAACGTAAATGTATTAAATAGATAATAATAGTTCTATGGTGGGCTAAAACAATGTTCACAAACAGCATTGCTTCTGTAAAAAGATCTGTGTCATAAAATAAACTGCTCTTTACGCCTGGAAAAATCAGTTGCCCACCATTCACCAAAACATACGGTCAAAAACGCGGAAATAAACAATAACAGCAATCCAGAGTGTCCGTGTGGCATTAGCATTAATTAAATTAATTGTTAATATAATTAAAATAATTAAATGGAGCTCCAACTGGTATTAAATCTAAAGTTTTTGAGAAATGTTTGCATTGCTTGTTAATTTTTGCTGCATAATTTGATCAAATATGTAAAACATGTCCGTAGCACGTTAAACTGTGGTGCCATTGTATTAATATACAATTATTTGCTCAAAAGTTGCCCTTTTTTTCCAATTTGCGTTTGAATATCTACATTTATTCTCATTCTTCTGTTTAATGGAATGCACAAACACAGCAGCGTGCCATCAAAGATGGCGTCTCCGAGGAGGTCATGTGACATTCATTGGTCTGTGGGAACTATGTATAGGATCAAAACAAACTTCTCATGACACATGATATTGATGAGACTAGTTACATACCCAAGCTTCAAATATCTATTATTTGTGAGGTTTTCACACATTTAATTGATACTTACAGAAATATTTACAATCATATTGAGTGTATTACGGTCTATGGTATTACTGTGAGAAAATAAGGTATCACAGCTTTAAACATATTAAAAAGCATATAATACTCTCGGACAGCTTTTGACATCAAAACAAATCACTAAAAATGTTACAGGCTGTTGCTGATTCAAATCACGTGTATTTCTGTGTTAGATTTCTGGAGACACAAATAATAAGCCTTAAAAGTGAAATATAAAAATGATACATGCCTCAGTAAACATGTCAAACAGCTGCTCCATCTGCTCTTTCCCAAGTTCGTGAAGTGTCTTTAGGTTAATCCTCTCCACTCTCTCCCATTCAAGCGTAACGGTCATTTTAACAGATTAAAGAAGCAATATACACTTATATAGGTTGTAAAATCCGAAGAGAGCCCTTAATTATTGCAGTCTTGAAATCTTGCAGAAAACTGATCATGTTGTCAAAAAATAATAGCATCCCAGTTTCAGTTACTAGCTTCGACGAGAAAACACATGTATTCTAAGTCAAAACATTAGAAACTACTGGTGTGTTTGTATTTTAGAAGCAAATACTTTAAGTAGTAACGTAAAAACAATCAAATATTAATAATTTGCCGTAAAATTTCGCTAAAATGTAAACATGAGAGGAGACGGGCAGGCAGCAGGCTGGGAACCCGGGCTACATCTGTATTCAGACCCTCGGGGTGACTATGCTTCCTTATTGTTAAACATAAAGAACAATGTGCAAAGAGGAAGCCCCAAAATTGATTCCTTAACATTTTGTATGTTTTAAATACTATTTTGATTCAATTATTGTCCAATACAATGACTCAAATCTTATTTCAAGTTAAAAAGGACGTATGAAAAAGGAAGTACTTTTCTAAGAACTTAGATGCAGCCAGAGCTTCTGCTGCTACCTAGGAAACGGCTATAGCTTCCGTACCACTTCCGTTTAAAAACATGAACGAGAAGTGAGTTTAAGCATGACTAACACACAAACTGAGACAATGCATTTGCGTTAATGTGTTACTTTAACTGAATCGATACAATTACATCACACAAAGAGGATGGAATAAAGTATTAGGCTGTGTTTTTTGTTCGAGGCTAACAATGCTAAGCTAGCACGTCAACTAGCGCGCTATGGGCTCAATCCGGAACTGTTTGGGGAGTACTTGCCGTGCAGTCACTCTCAAGAAAAAAATGTTGCTGCTTAATTTTTAGTACAATCTACGCGTTTGTTTAATATTTCTGCGTTTCAAACTAAAGCGACCTGCACCTTCTTTTACTTTCTGATTGACACGGTGAGTTTGAAGAGAAACATAAAGCAGCGTGTTTGTTTTTGGGTGAAAAAAGCCGGCATTAGCATTAGCCACAACATTAGCCACCTTGTAATAAAAAACACTGACTTTTGCATGCTGTGTTATGTTTGTAGCATACTGCATGAGTCAAAAGACGGATATAGAGATGTGTGTGATATATCTGCACCACTGTTGTAAAATGTGCATTAAAGGTTGGTTTATGAGTTAGAATGCTGGCAGATATTTGAGATTTAGGGGACAGCTGTCATGAAGAGGCGCTGCCTTGTGCGTCTGTGCTCTGCTTATGTGGAATGCCAGAACATCGTCTGATCTCACAGTTTATACGTTTGAGTTTTGTGTGTGTTGATTTGTATATTTTTTAATTTATTCCCCACAATGCAATGCACTCCTGTAGTTGTACATCCATAACATGTGAGAAAAAGGTGACAATTAGATATTCAAGTTCACAATTGAACACTTTTTTATTGTTTCAAACACGGATAAAAAAATATTGCAAACAATAGAGTCTTCAGATTAAGATGTATCCTTTACTTAACCTGCCTAGTATGTGGGTGTTGCTGAGGCGTGGACAAAAAGTAACTTACAAAGGTGTTCTTCTAGGATAAAGTCACAGAACTTTAGAGAAGCAGGTAAAAACATGGCTAAAAGCAAAATACAGATTGCTGTTGAAGAAGTGAATAAACAATACTGCAATGATGGATCTTCACTGTCTTTAGGCTCTCCTACATTGGCAAGTAACAATAAAAATGTGAACAGGGACAGCAAAGAGAACAAGTAGAAGGAGATGAGGGTGGTTCTCTCTATTTCACTTTTCTGCCTGAGAAAAGTTGATCTAAAGACAAGGCCAAAAGCACATTCATGCGAAATTCAGTGATCAAGCCAAACTGTTTTGAGAGCAAGGGACTAGTTACACACATTTTATTTCACTGCTCTATTTATAGTGGTTTAAAAGTTTGGTACACCACCTTTAATGCACCCTTCTCCTTAACATTAAAGCCTTTTTCTTTTCCTCCCTCAGTGCTCAATGTGGCCCGGGCCATGGCTGCCGTGTCATCGACAGAGGCTCTGCTGCTGGCAGGTCTGGTGGTGTGCTGCTACTGGAACAGTTTGTCCTGTGGATTTGTCTTTGATGATGTGTCTGCCATCCTGGACAACAAAGACCTGAGGCCCTCCACTCCCCTCAGAAACCTGTTCCTCAACGACTTCTGGGGCACTCCCATGGCCGAGGTCAGACTTAAACTTAAACCGCAGCACCAGACCGAAGGGGTAGATTGGAGGGGTAGACTGTTTATGTGTTGTGTTCTCTTTTTGTATAAACAATGTATTTGATTGTTAATATTGAGACTTCTTAAACGCTTGTGTCCAAGGAGCGCAGCCACAAGTCGTACCGTCCGCTGACCGTGTTGACCTTCAGACTGAACTATATGGTCAGTGAGCTCAGTGCTGCCTCGTACCACCTGCTGAACGTACTGCTGCACGTGCTGGTGTGTGTCCTGTTCCTGCGCGCCTGCCGCCTCTTTCTTGACCACAAACACAGTCTGATGGCTGCGCTGCTGTTTGCCGTGCACCCCATCCACACCGAGGCCGTGAGTGCAACACACTTCTGCTGTTCACAATTCAGTGGTTTCACACATTTAATATAATGCAGCGTTTTCTCTGATCTTCAGCGCCCTCCTCCCACTCTCCTGTCTGTCCTGTTTCACTGCTCTCACTCATCGCTAGAATCCTAGTTTTGTGAAGTAAAACTGTTTTCTCGCAGTTTCATGGAAATCACATGTTCTGCGTTTTTCTCCAATAGCCCTCATGCACATGAAACCAGGCTTACTCTTTGCACAGACGTGTCACAACATGGTTATCCCAAGTGACTCCAGGGTTATCACTGTGATATCTACGTAAACTAAAAACTGATGATGCACCTGGAGCAGTGTTTTATTCAGAAGCCTTGTACAGTCTTGCTTCTGTCAGTCTGCCCCAGGTCAGTTGTGACTACAGCAGTAGTTTGCCATCATTAACATGGTGGTGATAATTTACTACTGTTGTCATAGCTGCCCTGGGGCAGACAGACAGAAGCAAGGCAACCAATGGATTTGATGAATGACAGGCACATTTTTACATGTTATGTCCACTTAAAATAGCTCTGGTCTCGCTTTCTGGTCTCGCTTTCTGGTCTCGCTCTCTGGTCTCGCTCTCTGGTCTCGCTCTCTGGTCTCGCTCTCTGGTCTCGCTCTCTGGTCTCGCTCTCTGGTCTCGCTCTCTGGTCTCGCTCTCTGGTCTCGCTCTCTGGTCTCGCTCTCTGGTCTCGCTCTCTGGTCTCGCTCTCTGGTCTCGCTCTCTGGTCTCGCTCTCTGGTCTCGCTCTCTGGTCTCGCTCTCTGGTCTCGCTCTCTGGTCTCGCTCTCTGGGTCCCCTCTCTATTCTTTCTCTCTGGTCTCTCTCTGGTTCTCTCTGATTTTCTCTCCGGTATCCCTTTCTGGTCTTTCTCTCTCTGGCCTCTCTGGTGTTTGCTGCTTGTCCATCATGTTTTCAGCCTGAAAACTGTAGACAAATGTGGTTAATGTGAATAAACCAAATGAAGTCAAAAGAACACATAGACCCACGCAGCAAAAATATTAGAACGTGTTTCTGGTTTTTCCCAGTTAGAAATCATACCTTCAATCATTTTTATTTAGTTTCACTGAAATACTTGGAAACAATGAAAAATGTGGAAATGGTTCAATATGATGAGGACCAGAGGGATTTTTTGTTCCACTGAGGAAGTCAGCCGTGACATGGAATCAACAGAACTGCGTTAGAGACATATCACAGACTGGGTTGAAAGAAGAAATATCATGGGTTTGTTTGTATCCCATAAACATAATAATTAAGATTGAAAGATAAATTATTCACTGCTGGAAACTCGAGGGTTCAGTTCAGGGAGAGACCAGAGAGTGGGAGAGACCAGAGAGTGGGAGAGACCAGAGAGTGGGAGAGACCAGAGAGTGGGAGAGACCAGAGAGTGGGAGAGACCAGAGAGTGGGAGAGACCAGAGAGTGGGAGAGACCAGAGAGTGGGAGAGACCAGAGAGTGGGAGAGACCAGAGAGAGCGGTAGAGACCAGAGAGAGCGGTAGAGACCAGAGAGAGATGGAGAGCGGGAAAGAGCAGGGGAGACCAGAAAGAGCGGGGGAGACCAGAGTGAGCGGGACAGACCGGGAGAGAGTGGAAGAGAGCAGAGAGGGCTCTCTGCGCTCTATGTCTAATAAATATAACATGTGAAAATGTTCCTCTGTCATTCATCCACGTTTGTCCCAGACGGGAGCTGGAGCTGACAGAGAAGGGCTTTATACGCGCAGCAGGGGCCCTTTAAGGCTACGCTCTGTTTGGGACTCCTCTGTGGGGCCATTTGTGAAGCTAATGGCTGCCATTGACTGTGGACGTAGATGTGATAGAGGTTTGTGAGAGCAGAACGAGCACAGTGTCTTGGGCAGGATTCATTACACTCTCTTGTCCATCTGAGGACAGGGGTGATTCTAGTTTCGAACTACAACATTGCCTTTATAACACACAAGGAAGAAGACTCTGCAGAGATGTACCGGGAAACGGAAACTGCTTTTAGATGGACATTCTCACACAAAAAAAAATGGATGGATGGATGGATGTTTCCTTATTTTTGTCATACATGTTACTTACCTTCAATGCATTCTTCAAGAGAGCAAATTTGGACCATCCTGATGCCGGATAGGTTAAAGGAGGATTTAACCTAGTGTGCATGTTTTTTAGTGGTAGGGGAAACAGGAGCACCTGGAGGAAACCTATGAAGGCATGGGTAGAACATGCAAACTCCACTCAGAAAGACCCTTTTCTGATCAGGATTCGAACCCAGGACCTTCTCGCTAAGAAGCGAGAGTGCTATCCACTCAGCCCCCGTGCAATTGTAGGTTGTGTTTATGTTTCTGGTCTCTCTCTGGTCTTTCTCCAGTCTTTCTCTCTGTGCTCTCTATATGAGCTCTCTCTCTCTGGTCTCTCTGCTCTTTCTCTGGATATGAGGTATAGCAGGCATAGACAAATCAGATGCCTTTATTTGTGGAGGAAACTTCAACTTGCCTTAGCCCGTGAAGGTCGCCCTGTCTGAGCAAATATCCATAAAGAAAATGTCATCTACAAAATTGTGATGTCACGGTGGCTGAGTGGTTAGTGTTCTTGCTTCTCAGTATCTTCAGACACCTTCAGACAAAAACTTTGGAGTGGAGTCCTGTGTCTGTGTTTTCTTTGGGTGTTCAAGTTTCCCATAACACTAAAAACAAATAAGTCGGATCCTGAAATTTCAGCTGGACTTTCCTGGTTAAATAAAGGCCGATAAGTACTCAGTCAGTACCCAGTCCACTTCTAAAATACGGCCTATGGTTCCGACTGTGTGACCTCAAACTATAAACACCAGGATCACAGAGAGCAATAAACTATGCATTTTTAAGCCTAAAATGGTGAGTGTGACACAGTTACTGAGATAAAGGACTTTTTCATGTACTGTAAGTCAAAAGGGGCCAGAGTGAGTTCCCCGGAGAAAATCTGAAGTACACTCGCTGAGCCACAGGAAGCCAGTGCAGAGACCTCAGACCAGTACTAATGGGAGAGGGCTTTAGGACAGAGACCTGAGACAAAGCCATTATAGTAGGGGAACTTGGAGATAAATGCAGAAGATTCTGGTTTAGAGTAGACACAATATGTTTTAATGTTATTTTTCTCAGATGATGAAAAGCTGCTGATGTTTCTGATGTGATTACTTCTAGATTTCTGACCTGATTTGAAGGTTTGAAGGAGAGAGGCCAAAGGTGGCAGATCATGTGATAAAATTCTTGTGTGTCGATGCATCGTTGGCCTCATCCACCCATATACAGTCTATGGTCTCTCACAGTCTTCGTTATCTGGGACTTGGCAGCAGGTCTCTCTCTCTCAGTCTCGGGGGAAGGTCATTTAGAGCCTCTTACACCACATTTAGCCTCTGCAGCTGCTGAGTCGACATAAAAGATGTGGTTTAATCAGTTTGACCTTCAGGTGCTGCGCAGATGTGTGGCCAGCTGTAGCAAAGGCGCAAAAAGAACACTCTGTTTTTTCAAGAACATTTACTTTTTTTGTAGTTCAATTTGACAAAACAATAGGGGTCTCTATTTATTTATTTATTTAGTGTCTATTTGTTTGAGCTTTGAATGACTATGCTGTTCAATTTAAGGTTGTGACAAGTTAATGAGTGACTGGTGTTTTGATTCTCACGCTGAGATGGTTTTATCTCACTTCTCGTGTGAAATAGAATTATTAAAACGTTTTATTAACCCTCTACAACACTCTATAAAGATATGGGGTGGGTTAAATATTGTTTTATTAGAATTGTTTTGATTTTTTTAAATGTTGTAATATTGACCTATTATCTAAATTTTCTTTTCTATTTTTTCCAATTTGCATTCCCCCCCATGTCTCATTTTCTACCCTGATTAACGTTTCAGATTCAGTTTCTTTTGCCATTTGCAGTAAAAAACCCACATTGGAATACATTAGCAAAAAGTCTCCAGTGTGCACAGAGAAATACAGACATAAAACAACATTAAACAACAAAAATAAAACAAAGAAAACAGTAAACAAATGTCACTGTGAAATCGATCGACTAAAACAGTTTCAAAACAAGTGCAAATCATTAAAGTGCTCTGTTCACACTGATAACAGCTTGTGGATAAAAACTGTTAGCGTAACGAGATGTCCTGCATCTCAGAGAGCGATATCTTCTGCCAGAGGGAAGAAGCTGGAACGTGGCTTTCCCAGGGTGGCCAGAAGAGTCATTGACAATCCTAAGAGCTTGGTCTAAAAGTCTGGATTTATAAAGAACCTCCAGAACAGGAAGCTCACAGCCCACGGTCCTCTTTGCAGAGCGGAGCACCTTGTTTAAAGATCTCTTTTCTTTATCTGTGATGTTTCCAAACCACACAGACACAGAACCCCATTATTTGTTTTGATTTATAAACATTTTCCCCAATTTCTTTTAAATGTTTATTTATTATATATATATATATATATATATATATATATATATATATATATATATATATATATATATATTAACCCTCAAGCTCCCAGGAGGACCCAAGCTTAGAGAGGGCCAAAGGTGAGTGGACAATTTTTTAAACATACCAATGAATTTTTAATACAAGAGTTACAAATTCATCAATAGTGCTGTATTTGTTAAAATGGGACGATGCCTTAGATCAGTGGTCCCCAACCTTTTTGAGCCGTGGCACACGTTTTTTATTTAAGACAATCACATGGCACACCACCCGCTCAAACTGAAACAAACATGTTACTCTGCAGCCTTTACTTATTCTCCATCTATTTTTTTCCTCTTTAATATTTGCCGGGTCATGGGGACAGCAAAACTCTACCTTACTTCCTTCAGCTCCTCCGGGAGAATCCCGAGCTGTTCCCAGGGCTGATGAGAGAGTACTGTATTTGAACCGGAGCTGTAGACTGGTTAAGTGAACGTTGATGTATTTAAAGCTCATTCATCCAGTCCCAGTGAGAAGCCCTCTTCCTGCTTCCTTCCTCTGCTCGCACATACTTATCCTTGTCTGAAACCCCACTGCTTCTGTTGAGGTTATTTTCACTGCTGTGACGTAGAAGTGAAGCTCCCAAGGTCATGGCTCCAAACACAGGAGCAGTGTCGCCACCAGGAGGCACTATCCTGTCACAGCTCTCAGAAAAGTGTCGGTCATAGGTGAGACAATGTGTGAGGTCAGCTGCAACAGTGTGTATGCAGAGATTTAACATGATCCAGATTATAAAGATATGTATTATAAGTTGATGTATTGTGTTGGTCCTCTCGCGTTCTCTCTCTCTCTCTGCTCCCCCTCTGATCTCTCTGGTCTCTCTTTCTGGCCTCTGTCTTTCCTCCATACTCCATCTTATGCAACATCTTATAACCACTAGTGTAACATGACAGTTACCTTTTTTTATAAAGTCAGAACAAAACTTTCTGGCTTGAGTGCCCTGTGGTGATTAGTTCTCTCCACTTTCTCTCTCTGGTCTCTCTCTCTCTGGTCTCCCTTTCTGGTCTTCCTCTCTTGTCTCTCTCTAGTCTTCCTCTCTGGTCTCTCTGTCTTTTATGTTTTTGTTGTATACTCCAACATCATTCAAGCGTAACATAACAATTACCGTTATTTCAAGTCAGAAGAAAACATTTGTGACTTATGTGCACTGCAGGGGCACGGGGGACCACACAACACAGCAACCATTCAAAACCTTTTTGAACCCCTATCTCTCTCTCCTCAGGTAACTGGAGTAGTGGGGCGTGCAGAGCTCCTCTCCTCCATATTCCTCCTGGCTGCATTTCTCGCCTACACCAAGTCCACCAGTCCAAACCACTCCATCGGTGAGTCCAGTAACCACTACTTCATTTCAAATCTCAGGATGAAAAGGTTAAAAAATCAATTGGAGTCATTTCATAATGGAGTCTGGGGAGAGAAAGGCCAACCTGTATGGGCTCATATTAGTGTAAGGATATTTTGCATGTTCCATCCGAGCTCTGGAGGTGCAACATAAAGGTCTACAGGCAACTAAATGAAAACCAAAAGGGCTGCTGCTGCCAGGACAGAGAGACAGAAGTGGAAGGAATAAAGGTTTGTTGGGCTCCTAGCAGGAAACATTAGGCAGGCTGGATATCCTGGAACTGGAGCCTTTGCTGCCCCTCCCCTCATGTGCGTCTCATTCAAACGGCGACGCTCGCTTAGCTCAGAGCATAGATGTAAACATGCTCGGAGGCAACAAACTAAAAAACCGAGTGTGTAGAATATGACAAAAGATGGTGTAGCGTCAGAGTCCGTAGCATTTTTTTCAGTCAGATTCAGATACAGATACAGATCAGATTCATTTATTGACCATTTGCAGTAAAACCACATTGGAATACATTTGCAAAAGTCCCCAATGTGCACAAGAAAAGTACAAAAAAACCCCCCCCAAAAAACAGTAAACAATTGACACTGTGAAATTGATCAGTTTTCAATGCAAATGCAGGATCATTAACGTTCTCTGTTCAGACTGTTAACAGCTTGTGGAAAGAAGCTGTCAGGATATTGAGATGGCCTGCATCTCAGTGAACAATATCTTCTGCCAGAGGGAAGAAGCTGGAACATGGCTTTTCCAGGGTGGTCAGAAAAGTCATTGATTATTCTTAGAGCTCAGTTTAAAAGTCTGGATTCATAAAGAACAGCTCACAGTCCTGCTTCAGAGCGGAGCACCTTGTTTGAAGCTCTCCTCTCTTTGTCAGTGATGTCACCAAACCACATAGTCACATAAGTAAGTAAGTAATCTTTATTTATATACCGCCTTTCACAGATCAGAGTCACAAAGTGGTTTACAATTGTTATTTTTGGGCATTTGTCCTCTCACTCCACACAGAGATGGGAGCGGGGTTGCCAGTACAGGAGGCACATGCACAGTCCTATTGTACATATTTTTAGTGGTAGGTGAAACGGAGGTACCCGGAGGAAACCTACGCAGACACGGAGAGAACATGCAAACTCCACTCTGAAAGGCCCTATTCCAACCGGGATTCGAACCCAGGACCTTCTTGCTGAGAGGCGAGAGTGCTATCCACTCAGCCACCGTGCCGCCCACGAGACTCTTAATATGTCCTTGTGCCGTCTGTCTTGTATGTTGTCATTTATTTATTTCCCTTGCTAGGGATTATAGATGAAAACTAGCTTTGTGGTTATAATCCAGCAGTAAGGCTTCATGTTTGTCCTCATCAAATATATAAATAATGCATGTTCATACATATATTTTACAAGTGAAGCAACCCTGTGGTATCTCAAACAAATCACTATAAAATGTTTTGCTACAGACCTGTCCTGGAGTGTGATGAATGATGTTGCAGGGAGTTGTCTGGAATTCCATGAGTATTTATTACGATTCTAATTATTGAGGGTTTACTATGATTTATGCTCCACCGTTGACATTGCACAATTAAAACAGTTGTTGTTGCATTGCTCTTTGTATCTACAGTGCTTCCTAACATGTCATTAAAACGACTTGGATCACTTCAAAGGCTGGTGCTATAGAAGAAACGGATACAAATGGCTCATGTTTATCATGAATGAGAAGTCAGCAGGAACTTTCAAATTCTCCATGAAATTCAGCACATAACTAACTTTTGATAGTTGCTCTCTACTGTCTTTCTGTTTATGCAACACTACAGCTACTACAGTGACTCACTATTTGTTTCTTTGGGCTGATAGTGTGGAAGTATTCATTTGTGTTTTAGTACGGTACATAATTGATCTGGGATCTCTCTCTGGTCTTGCTCTCTTGTTTCTCCCTGGTCTCTAGTCTCCCTTTCGACTTTCTTTAAAATTAACATTGTGCTTTTCTGTCTTCTTAATGTTTTATGTGTGTCGTTTCAGTGTGGAGCCCCATCGCCTTGACCGTGATCCTTGTTGCCATGGCGACGTTGTGTAAGGAGCAGGGCATTACGGTGGTTGGCATCTGCTGCGTCTACGAGGTCTTCGTTGCTCAGGGGGTCAGTGAGAACTACACGTGTTTGTGATGAACCAGTCATCAATAATCAGCAACCCGGTCAATTATACTCTATAAAGCCACCCTGTGTAATTTTTTTCCATACATGGTTTGCACGTGTGAGGGTGGGTAATGGGGTAAGACCATACATTGTTTCAATGTTGTAGAAAAAGGGGCAGATAAACTTACGCATTTTTTTCCCTCTCTGCTCCTTTCCAATCATGGAAATGTGTCATGCAAATGTATATCATGTTATAAAGCTGATAAGTGCAACAAACAAATGAAATGAAAAATGAATGAAAATGAAAAAAATATGTTGACTAATAACAAATGTGACCTTTTAAGTATATTTACCTCCACCATGTTTATTATATATATATATATATATTGATATAAATATTATTTTCTATCAAAGGCTTCCGTAGTACCTTGGACCGCAATATAAGTTCTCAACGCTTGAGGACTCCCTCAAAAACGAGATGTTTCATCTCTAGCGGCTTATCCTCAAAACAAATAAATAAATAAACGCTAGATGGCATTAAAAATTACACAATGTACCTTTAAGGACTCTCTTGCAGCAGAAGAATGCAATTGCTGTCTCAATTCTCTTTAGATGTGAGGGGTAGAGCTAAGGAGTAGAGTTCTGCACTGGCTTCCTGTGGCTCAGAGAATAGATTTTAGGCAGCTCTGCTTGTGCTGCTTGTCCCTCCATGGCCTCGCACCAAAGTACATATTTTACACGATAGTACCTCAGACTCTGAGGAACACAGAGACTGGCCTCCTGCTGGTGCCTTGGGTCAGGACTAAACATGGGGAAGCAGCATTTCAGATGTATGCCTTTAAAATCTGGAACAGTCTTCCTGAAAATGTTCAAATCCAGGTTAAAAACAGTTCTGTTTAGCTGCAATAACTGAAAGATTGTATCTTCACCCTACCTTTTTTATCTACTTTCATTTCCCTGTTTTGTTTAGCTATTTGAATTACCTTGTGTATGAACTCTGCTATAGAAATAGTAAGTAAGTAATCTTTTTTTTTTAACCGAGGTCATCCAAAGCGCCAAAGCACAGATGTTTCAGATATTGTTCCATTATCTCCACACACGGTGATGAGGGAAGCGAGACGCCATACACACCCAATCAACACCATCCATTACACTCACTTATAAAATTCGTACCTATAGACAAATAGATATGAAAAAATAAATACGCTTGCCTTGCCTCGAGCTAAGCCATTTCAGATAATAATAATAATAATAATAATACATTTTATTTAAAAGCGCCTTTCAAAACACCCAAGGACACTGTACAGGCATAATAAAAACATTTAAAAACAGGATAAACAGAATAAAACAGTAGTCAGGTGCAATATGGGATGGTGTGTGTGTGTGTGTGAGTTAGGAGGGTGTGTGTGTGCGTGTGTGTTAGGTGTGTGTGTGTGTGTGTGTGTGTGTGTGTGTGTGCGCGCGTGTGTGTTAGGTGGGGTAGGACAGTCTGAACAGATGGGTTTTGAGTCGGGATTTGAAGAGTGGAAGAGAGTCAATGGTACGGAGGTCAGGGGGGAGAGAGTTCCAGAGCTGGGGGGCAGAGTGGCTGAAGGCTCTGTGTCCCACAGTGATGAGTCTGGCTGGGGGGACGGAGAGTGTGAGGGTGGAGGAGGAGCGGAGTGTGCGGGCAGGAATGTGAGGGTGGAGGAGGTCAGATAAGTACGGAGGGGCCAGGTTGTGAAGTGCTTTGAAGGTGGTGAGGAGTATTTTGAAATTGATGCGCTGTTTGACAGGAAGCCAGTGGAGTTGTTGTAGTACGGGGGTGATGTGGTGAGCTGTGGGGGTCCGGGTGATGATACGAGCTGCAGAGTTTTGGAGGAGCTGCAGTTTCTGGAGGGATTTGTTGGGGAGGCCGAAGAGAAGTGAGTTGCAGTAGTCAATCCTTGAGGTGACGAGGCTGTGGACGAGGATGGCGGTGGTGTGGGGGGTGAGAGAGGGGCGGAGACGAGAGATATTGCGCAGGTGGAAGTAGGCAGACCGAGTGATGTTATTGATGTGGGATTGGAAGGAGAGTGAACTGTCGAGGATGACACCCAGGCTCTTGACTTGAGGGGAGGGGAGGACAGATGTGTTATGGATGGAGATTGAGAAGCTGGTAGATTTGGAGAGAGTGGAGGGGGTGCCTATGAGAAGGACTTCAGTTTTTGAGCTATTGAGTTTGAGAAAGTTGGAAGAGAACCAGGAATGAATTTCTTGTAGACAGAGGGTGAGGGAGGATGGAGGGAGAGAGGAAGATGGTTTAGTGGAGAGGTAGAGCTGGGTGTCATCCGCGTAGCAGTGGAAGTGAATGTTGTGACGGCGGAGGATGTGACCGAGTGGGAGAATATAGATGATGAAGAGGAGGGGCCCCAGGACAGAGCCCTGGGGCACACCAGCAGAGACAGGAAAAGTGCGGGATTTGTGGGATTTGAGATGAATGAACTGTGAGCGACCAGAAAGATAGGAGGTGAACCAGGCGAGGGGGGTGTGGGTGATGCCGATGGAGGAGAGTCTGTTCAGGAGGGTGGAGTGAGAAATGGTGTCAAAAGCTGCAGTGAGGTCCAGAAGGATGAGGATGGAGAGTAAACCGGAGTCAGAGGCTATGAGGAGATCGTTAGTGATTTTTAGAAGAGCTGTTTCGGTGCTGTGGAGGGGACGGAAACCAGACTGAAATTGTTCGTAGATGTTGTTGGTGGTGAGGTGGTTGTGGAGTTGAGCAGCGACAGATTTTTCAAGTATTTTGGAGATGAAGGGAAGGTTTGAGATGGGACGGAGGTTGTTGAAGTTGGTTGGATCCAGGCCAGGTTTTTTGAGAATGGGTGAGACTGAGGCGGTTTTGAATAAGAGAGGGACAGTACCAGAAGTGAGAGATGAATGAATGATATTAGTGATGAGGGGGGCAGCTGAGGGGAGGCAGGATTTGACCAGAACGGTAGGGAGAGGGTCGAGCTGAGAGGTAGAAGGTTTGGATTTAATGATAAAGTCGGAGATGGCTTGGACGGAGGGCAAGATGAAGCTGGAGAATGTGGCTATGAGGGATGAGTAGGGGGCTGGGGGGTCCACTCCAGAGGCTGCAGCTCCATGCGGGGTCAGGTGTTGGTGAATGTCAGAGATCTTGGAGGTAAAGAAGGACATGAGTGAGTTACAGAAGTCAGTGGATTGCATATGGTGAGGGAGGGAGTCAGGGGGTTTGGTTATATTGGTGAGAAGAGAGAAGAGAGTTTTGGAGTTTTGATGATTGGAGTGGATTAAACCGGAGTAGTAGGTGGATTTGGCAGCAGAGAGATGGTCCTTGTATAGCATGATGTGGTTATTGTACATTTGTTTGTGAATGGTGAGTCCAGTTTTATTGAAGAGCCGTTCAAGTTGACGTCCTTGGGATTTGAGCTGACGGAGGGCAGGGGTGAACCAGGGTGCTGAGAGCGTGAAAGAGACGGGTCGGGTTTTGAGAGGAGCATGATTGTTCAGGAGGTTATGGAGAGAAGTGTTGTAGTGGGAGACCAGGTCATCGGGGGAGTCATTGGGATCAGTAGTGGGGAGGTTATTGATATCTGAGGCGAAGGTGGCAGTGTTTATGTCCTGAATTTTACGGAAAGAAATGGTTCGGGGAAGGATGGTCTTGGAGAGGGTGAGGTTGATATTGAAGGTGATGAGCTTATGGTCTGTGTATGGGAGTGTGTGAGGTTTACAGTCAGTGGGAGTGAGACCAGAGCAGCAGATTAAATCCAAAATGTGACCTTTAGTGTGGGTGGGGAAATGAATGTGTTGTTGTAAACCAAAACTATCTAAACAGGAGGAGAAGTCTTTGGTGAGAGGGTTGCTATTATTGTCCATGTGAATGTTGAAGTCCCCAAGTATGACTGCGTTATGAGAGATAGATGAGAAGTGTGTTAGAAGGTGAGAAAAGTCATTTAAAAAGTCCTTATTAAGTATTGGCGGGCGGTAGATGGTGGCAACAACAGTAGGAGAAGGTCCAGGCAGCAGTGAGGCAGAGTACTCGAAGGAGGAGAAGACAGGGGCAGCAGGCACAGGTGTGACTTTCCAAGTCTCGCGGTGAAGCATCGCGAGACCTCCGCCCCGGCGGCCACAGCTGCGGGGCTGGCAGATGTAAACAAACCCCGGTGGAGTGGAGTCGTTCAACGCGGCAAAGTCATTTGGCTGCTGCCAGGTTTCGGTCAAACACAAGAAGTCCAGCTTACGGTCGACGAGGACATCCCGGACCAGATGGCCCTTGGTGTTGAGGGAGCGCACGTTGAGGAGACCGAAGCTGACGGTGGTGGAGCTGTTCTTGGCTGCCGCGGGCTGAGCCGATCGGGCCACGCTGACCAGGACACTGTCAGCGTCCCGACCAGCGGTGCGGGAGCAGCGGCGAGTGGTGGACCAGAGGGACTTTATTGAATGGGAGTCCTTGTATTGGAGCTTACGGCGTGATCCACGGTGAACGTACCGCCGCCGGGGCTGGAAGGCGATGCCCGGGGGGATGTCATGTCCGCGCTCCGGTGGCTGAAGAGGAGCGGGGACGTGGTGCCGAAGTTTTAAAAGTTCAGCAGCGGAGTACTGGAGGAGAGCATTGGCCTGCAGATGGACCAGGGACACGATGAGCCAGATGACAACAAGCCAGCGCGTTATATGGCAGACACACATCGTTTCCCAGGAGGGGAATACGACAGCCAGGGGTCCCAGGTATGAATATGTCCAAAATGCTTATGACAACAGCAAACTGTGGTTGATATCGAAAGCAGGTAAACAATCCTTAAAACACAACGTAACCACGACATCCAATATTGCGTAAACAATGTTTTAGCCCGTGTTTGTTCTGTGAGCAGCGGCTGCCAAAGCGCGCCAGCGTTCACTCACCGAACTCCAGATGGCCCCTGAGAAATGAAGACCAGTGGAAATATAAACAAACAAACAAATACTAATGTGAAAAAATTCTCAAATTCAATAAGAGGACCTTAGTGATAAAGAATATCTGCGCCCAGTTCCATTTCTCTCTGTGACCTGGTCTTTTCTTTTTGTCTCCAGTTCACCTTGCCGCTCCTGCTGGACACTGTCAGACACTATGCCCTGGGTAAAGATGGCTTCCCTCTGGCTCTGATGCAAACGCTGCTGAAGCTGATCGTCCTGGTCATCAGCACACTGCTCCTCGTCATCGTCAGAGTCCAAGTCATCCAGTCACAGCTCCCAGTCTTCACCAGGTGAGCACAGAACTGTCTGGAGACCAAAATCTCCAGGTACAATACAATACAATAAAATGTATTCTTTTTTAGCCCTAAATCACAACAGTAGGCATCTCAGAGGACTTAACCAAACCATTGAACACAGATCAGAGAATCAACAGTTAACAGTTATCAATCAAAAAATATAGAACACATATGTATTGGTTCATAGAGAGAGGCCAATGTTCATACATGTTGTAGAATGTTAGTGTTCTGGATCATCACCACAGTCCTTCTTTTTAGACACTAACTGTCCAACAGACCCTCCTGCATAATGAGGGAAAAACGCAAGAACAAAAACACTGGGAATAATGTGAGCAACGTTGGGGGAATCCACATAGAGAGAGGGATCCGCTCCCTCGCATGGACGGGCGATAGATCCAGGACCGACGATCTATAGGCTATAGAAGGAGGAGAGGATAGTGCTCTAGTTACCATACTTCTCCCAGCAAACTGACTCCATACGCAGCTTGACTGACGATCTAAGATTTTTAGCCTTCCCTGAGTCGTGCCTTCCTAACCATATGCTAAACTAAGGAGGACTGTTTTAAGCCCAGCCTTGAGAACGTGTCCGACCGAAGGAGGGACGGCAGCAGCTACGGCTAAGCTAGCCCAGGCTACAAAGGAGTAGCAGAATAGAGTGGAAGGTCTCCCCCTCCACTTGATCCTGTCTTTTTCTGCTCTCTCTGTGGTCCCTCTCTCTACTCTCCCTCATTGGTCTCTCTGTGGTGTTTTTGGTCTCTCTCTCGCTGGTCTCCTTCTCTGGTCTCACTCTGCTCTATCACTTTCTGGTCTTGGCTGCACTGCGCTGTGACTGTAGAACACTTTAAAGTCTGAAGTTGACCCTTTTTAGTCACATTGTTTGTCCCATGGTGAAACGCTGACACGGGTCCCAACAACGCAAAAAGAAAGTCATCCTTTTTAAATGGCTTGAATTGCTTCTAACAGCTTTATCTCTTTATCACGTTACTTCTTTGTGGTTTTAACTGTTCTTTCCCTCAAATGATTACCCACAAGAACGAAGCACATTGTTCTATTTGTAACCTCTCATTAGAATCGATACCCCCCCTCGGAAGCCTCTCTACATAAAGTCCTCGTCTGCACGGAGGGAGCGGCTAATTGTATGTTCAACGTAAAGGCGACTGCTTCTCATGCACGCGCACATCGAATTAATAGTGTTTTATATGCAGCAGAGATAATGAGACTGTAATTTACCACATAAGATCAAGTAGATTTATGCTCAGGTTGAAACAGCCAGAGGCATGTCAATCTCCGATGATGTGCTGGGAGCCAAACCTGCACATTTATATGTAGTTGTATGTCATTGTCTTCCTGTTGTAATGATCGTTTGCTGTAATGTGCACATAAAGTCTGGGAAAACAACTATAAACTTGGGTCAAAAATAGTTGTTCTGCTCAGCTGTTTTTCCATTCACACTCGTCCCTGTTTTTTGCAGTAGTTGTTTGATGGTGGTCTGTCGGTGTGCGCCAGGTCACCTATGGCTACAGTGGTAGTTTCCACTGTGTAAAGAGTGAATGAAAAATGGCATGTGATGAATTATTAGGTCGCGAGAGGAGATAGTCACATCAGCGGGGTGAAATAAGCACAGATACAGAACATGCATTTGGCCCTAAACAGGCTATTTATTACTGTTCCAGTTATTAGTATGAAAGGCCAACACCCCCCACGCGCGAGCGCGATCCTACACTACAAATCAAAAACCATTCACAAACAAACAACAGTGGCGCTCTCAATATGTGAAAGCAAAAGAAAAGAAAGAGTCAGTGTCAGTGGTGAAGCCACGGTTCTACTCACGACTCCTCCTGGAGCCCAGCAGCGTCTCGTTATATCCCACAGATCATGGTAACCCAAAAGTCACGATAATCCAAAAACAAGATACTCCACCAGAGATTATAATCCGCAGAAATGGGTCCTCCAGGTAAAGGTGCTGGCCCTGCTCCAAGTTGGGGTTTGACGTCAGATCATGCGCACCCCTGCGCCCGTGTCCGACGCTCTTAAATAGAGTCTCTCCAAGGACACAGTCAAGGAATAATAATAATACAATCTGAAAACTTATGTACAGTAACAGACCTGGTACACAAAATTGGTTGTAAAATAGAGACTTTCACCCCTCCTGAGTGAACATTAAGGTAAGGACCTATGTGGGCGTTACATCCCCTCCCCCCAGCCAGCGGCTTGACGGGTCCAAAATAGGGTTTTATGTCTACCACGTTTATAGTGTCCACCTTCATCTTATCGGACCACCAACGGATTTGGTAATTTACAGGTCCCAAGCTTTTCTCTACCCTAGCCGGCCCTAACCACTTCGGCGCAAGTTTGGCAGAGAATGTCGCGGAAGCTTTAGACAACGTTGCGACCTAACTCAGACCAGACTACCGACAGCAAAGTGTACATCCCTGCGACGTCCATTATAGTTTGTGGCATACAAGTAAGCTGTACAAAAGCCCACAAAATTTGCCACAAAAAATCTGCTAAACAGCAAGGCTGCAAAAGGTGAACCGCAGCCTAACAAGGGACCACTATATCTTAAATATTTGACCTGTTTTGTAGAAATTCACCTCTAAAGTCTTTTTATTTTTAGAGAAATAGCTTTTTGACCACGTTGTTTTGGCTGACATCTATGACTTAACCAAAACATTTATAGAAGTTAATCTATCATGACCACTTTCCTCGGGAACAGCTCTGTGGCATTGCAATAAGTTCCATATGTTTCCTGATGGGTTCACCAAAAAGTGTTTAGTAGACACTGCAAGACACTGGTCTTGCACAGTTTTGTGTTTGCAATTAAATATCCTAACGTTTATCAACGGAGAAGGCCACAGCACACAGCTACATTATTGCCTTAAAAATACTTATTATCGGTTCGAGACATTTAAGCACAATACAAACAAGTCAGAACATCTAATGGTTCTAATTAAAATGACTAAGATATGTACTCTATCATTTCTGTGCCACTGTGAGGATTGGAAAAGTAGATATTTTTGGACATTGAGCTGCAATATAAATAACAATACAACATTATCTGTATCAATCAAAGTACCAGTGTTCTTTAAAGGAGCTATACCCGTTTCTGCAGGTTTTATTCAGTTTGAATGTTTAGCACCGCCCCCCAACTCGCTCACAGGCTTCTCATTTCCCCTACGCTCTTATCCCACGCAGCCATCTAGTTTTATTTGCAATCTGATACGTATGCAAACATTAGCATTAGCACAACTTCTTGTAAGCTGTACAACAATCACTGATGAAATGGTACAAAAGCAACGCACTGCTAACAAAATATATAACTGAAAGATTACTGCTAGTTTCGCGTCCAAATGTAATCCGAGGCTCTCATAGGTCTCTCCCATAGACAAGTCTCTCCAGAGGATACGATGTAAGCTAGCTATGTTCACCTGGGCTTGATTTCTTCTTTGATAATTTTTTTTGTTTTAGTTCCGTCTTCTCTTCCTCACTGTTGCGTCGTTTGGGCTGTTTTGCTGTGCATGCAGTTACAGCAAGAGGAGTTATAGCCAATTGTTTGCCAGCGCTGTAGAGGCTAGAGGACGCAGCCTGTTCTAACAGCACCGCTCCTCGTTCTGTGAGTGGGGAGAACGAGCGTCACACTAAGTCTCTACTCAGCTCTTTTTACGGACTGAATTCATACACAAGCTGAATCAATGAGCTCAAGTTTTCAATTAAATTACGGATTTAACACAACTTGTACGTTGTAATACGCATTTTTATGAACTCGTTAGAAAATAAATCGGGTATAGATGACGTTCACGTGACGTCACATCCTGTGAAACAAAGCTCAACTTATCGGAAGTCGGCCATGTTGGTGGTATAGTACGCTGCTGTAGCTGTATGGTCACGCTCTCTAATGTCACGTTTGTGTAAGCCCTCAGTCGTACAGGGATTAGTCAAAGCAAAAGAAGGTTTCTCACCCATCATCTGTACTTCTTAGCAAGTTTTCCCGACGTTTCGTTCCTCAATCCTAAGGACTTCTTCAGGGAATGAATTCTCAGACCGCGCGTTGGAGATTTATAACCTATGGGTGTGGTTTGCCACACCCTAATCCTGATACTAACTCATAAACAATCTAAGGTCTGTTTGATGTAGAAGGGAGCAGGTCTAACGACCCTGCTGAGGCTAACGACCCTAACTCATTAGCATGTCACTGACCTTGTCCAAGTTAAGCCTAGTGTGTACTCGCGCGGAGCTTACGGAGGTGACGTGACGTCACTTGCACAACGCGTTGGTCACCGCAAGGCCCTTACGTCGCCTGCCGCGCAGCATCGAAATTTTCTAACTACGTAAGAGTCGCCGCAAGGAAGCTCCGCTGTGATTGGTCCGTGTGTGTGTATTGGAAGGAAGCACGGAGCGGCTGCAGCAGGAGCATGGACGAGGCACTATGGAGCAGACTGTTTCACGCTTCGAAGGAAAAGCAGTTTGGGCTCAGAGCCTGATATACAGGAGACTGTGGACTATCTAACATATATATAACTTATAAACTGTGCAGTCGTTTGTTTTGCACTGTTCCTGTCTTTGTTTGAATCGTAGCTGCGTTTGTTGCTTTCCTCCTGCACTCGTAAATCGTTCATGTTTGTCTCAGATATTTACCACTATTATTGTTTTGCTGTTTGTGCTGAAAACTATTTAATAATAACTATGTTTCCAACAAGAACTGTGTCTTTATTCACAGCATCACAGTTGAAATGACTTATAAAATAATGAATCCATAAAACTATCACATAAACCTGCAGTAGAAACACGTGTAATGAGCTCAAACAGCTTTGTTTGCTATTGTTGTTCTGAAGAGGACAAAGTAGCAGCGTAAATGGGACCGCTCCTGTGTGATCGCCCTCATGTGGTTTGTTGTGGGATTACAAAATTCTCCTCAAAACTCCGTAAGGGGAACGCGCCAGTATAACATCAATTGTGCTTACGTAGGTCCACCGTAACCGCTAACGTAAGCCACG